CTCAGATCGGGTCCAGTGGAAGGAGCAGTGCCAGGTGTCGCTTGAGAGGGTAAAGCAGACCCTTTCCACGAGCCTCTTCTCCACACACCTAACTTTTGTCTCCCCTTTATACTGCAGACTGATGCGTCGGGCAGAGGGTTTGGGGTGGTTCTGTCCCAGCAGGTGCAGGGTGTCGACCGCCCCGTACTGTAACTCTGGCAGGGCAGCCAGGTACAGCACGATGGAGAGGCAGTGCCTGGCCATCCGGTGGGCGGTCGATGCTCTGCGGTACTACCTGCTGGGACGTTCATTCACCCTCTGCTAGGACCACGCTCCCATCCAGTGGATCCACCCCATGAAGGATGCCAAAGCGCGGATCAACCGTTGGTATCTGGCTTTGCAGCCTTTTAAGTTCATGGTGGCCCATAGGCCGGGGACGCAGATGGTTGTGGCCGACTTCCTCTCCCGTTCCCATGGGAAGGGGGGGGAGTGGGTTAGGCCGGACGGCTCCCCGGCCTAAGTCAGGCGGTGGAGGTATGTGGAGGGGGCGTGGCGCTCAGCTGCAGGAGGGGAGGTGTGGAGAAGGCTCAGGGGAGCAGCGCCAGGGGAGATGATTGAGCACACCTGGAGCCATTTTTTTTTTTTCATTATCCTCCGCTTATCCGGGGTCGGGTCGCGGGGGCAGCAGCCGAAGCAGGGAAACCCAGACTTCCCTCTCCCTTGCCACTTCCGCCAGCTCCTCCGGGGGGGATCCCGAGGCGTTCCCAGGCCAGCAGGGACACATAGTCCCTCCAGTGTGTCCTGGGTCTTCCTCTGGGCCTTCTCCCAGTGGGACAAGCCCGGAATACCTCCCCAGGGAGGCGACTAGGAGGCATCCTGATCAGATGCCACCTCAACTGGCTCCTCTCCACGTGGAGGAGCAGCGGCTCTACTCTGAGCCTCTCCGGGATGGCCGAGCTTCCCACCCTATCTCTAAGGGAGAGCCCAGCCACCCTGCGGAGGAAACTCATTTCGCCCACTTGTATCCGGGATCTCGTTCTTTCAGTCACTACCCAAAGTTCGTGACCATAGACGAGGGTGGGAACATAGATCGACCGATAAATTGAGAGCTTCGCCTTTAGGCTTAGCTCTCTCTTCATCACGACAGACCGGTACAGCGCCCGCATTACTGCAGACGCCGCACTGATCCGCCTATCGATCTCAGGCTCCCTTCCCCCATTCGCGAACAAGACCCCGAGATACTTGAACCCCTCCACTTGGGGAAGGACGTCTGCTCCAACCCGGAGAAGGCACTTTACCCTTTTCCGGTGAGAGACCATGGTCTCGGACTTGGAGGCACTGATCCCCATCCCAGCCGCTTCGCACTCAGCTGCGAACCGCTCCAGCGAGAGCTGTAGGTCCCGACCTGATGAAGCCAACAGGACCACATCATCTGCAAAAAGCAGAGATGCAATCCTAAGGCCACCAAGACTGACACCCTCAACACCTCGGCTGCGCCTAGAAATCCTGTCCATAAAATATATGAACAGGACCAGAGACTGACGGCATCCCTCACCGCCGGTGTCCACCAGCAGATTCGAGGGTTGCCGCCACGACAGGCACCGCAGCTCCGGGAGGCCGCGTCATTAATGGCAGATTCCCCTATCGCCAGAGTCCAACATGGCCCACTCGGACTCAATGTCCCCCGCCTCCCCCGGAACGTGCTCGAAGCTCTCCCGGAGGTGGGAGTTAAAGCTCCGCCTAACAGGGGACTCCGCCAGGCGCTCCCAGCAGACCCTCACAACACGTTTGGGCCTCCCGGGTCTCACTGGAATCCTCCCCCACCATCGGAGCCCACTCACCACCAGGTAGTGGTCAGTGGAAAGCTCCGCCCCCCTCTTGACCCAAGTGTCCAGAACATATGGCCGCAGATCAGCTGAAACGACAACGAAGTCGATCATTGAGCTGCGGCCTAGAGTGTCCTGGTGCCAGGTGCACATATGGACACTCTTATGCCTGAACATGGTGTTCGTTATGGACAATCCGTGCCGAGCACAGAAGTCCAAAAACAGAACACCGCTCGGGTTCAAGCTGGGGGGGCCATTCCTCCCAACCACGCCCCTCCAGGTCTCACTGTCGTTGCCCACGTGAGCATTGAAGTCCCCCAGCAAAACGAGGGAGTCCCCAGGGGGGGCACCCTCCAGTACCCCCTCTAAGGACTCCAAAAAGGGTGGGTACTCTGTACTGCTGTTAGGCGCATAGGCACAAACAACAGTCAGGACCCGTCCCCCCCACCCGAAGGCGAAGGGATGCTACCCTCTCGTTCACTGGGGTAAACCCCAACGTACAGGCACCGAGGTGGGGGGCAATGAGTATGCCCACCTGGAGCCAGTTGGCTAATCACTCTCCCCTCTGTAAAAGGAGTAGCGTGCTGGACCTGCGGGGGAACGAGAGCCGGAGCTGGATAGGAGCCGCCAGATCGAGACCCCAACAGGCAAACTGCCAGTAGCAAAAGAAAGCCCAAGCCGGGCGTGCGTGTATAAGTGAGTGTGCGTGCGTGCGGCACACAAGCACAGAATAAACCCCGTAAACCAACAAATCCTGGTCTCTGAAGACTCTGTCAGACACCCACGGTGACACCACCATCACAATGTTATTAAAATGCTTTGCGCAACCTCACGGGGAAATGTCAGAGGAAAAAAAGGAGGTGTGAGGGTGGGGTGGGGGGTGTCTGAGTGGAGCTCTGTTTCCCAAAAAACCTGCAAACCTGTGCAACGGTGCTTAAAAGGGAGGTAATTCCTCTCCTTTTTCTTTATGGATGATCGTAAACACAAGAAAACTACGAGGAAGTGCTCAATGTCTAAAACTCCCCCTTTTCCTCCCTCTATTGTGAACTGGTCCTTTTTAGAGTAGCTGCTAAAAGCGGAGCTTTCAGAGGTCCAAAATGGTCTGAGATGATGGCTATGAGATTGCTCCTGGTTGTTGCAGTGCAAACCACATGTCTGAAGACCTCCGCTTATTCTGTAACAAGCAAGTTTTTCTGTGTTTGTCCTCTATCTCTTCCACCAGATATCACAAATAAAAGTTTTGACCATCAACTCTGAGCTTTTTTTATTTTTTTTTATTAAAGAGCCAGTGTTGGTCTCCCAGCCCCATCTGTTCTTATTTACAACAGGCCGAATGGGGAAAAATAATATCTTTATGTGAATCGATGTAGGATTTAAGAGATTAACAGTGAGCTGAAAGACATTGGTGGAAAGAAAAAAAAAAAGAAAGAAAAAAAAAACTGTCTCAGAGAGAGTAAATACTCACACAGCGAGTCAGACATCTGAGTGCTGGTGAGGAGTGTGCTGGGGCTTTTGATGGAGGAAGAAACAGCAGCCAGTCTCAGGCTCCTGGAAGTGGTGTCAAACTTCTCATCCTGGAGACGCACAAGAAAACGGGAGAAACAGCCAAATGTATGAGAAAGATGAGCACTTTTTGGAATCTTTATGCGATTTTTAACGGGCCAGAGGATGTAAATCAAAGCCGTTTGGATTCCTGAGTGTGGCAAACTTCACCACGTCTGGAAAACCTGACGGGAAATAAATGGAAAATAAACCTTGGCTCTCTTGGTTCTAACACGAACGAGAGAAGCAAGCAAGCCACTTAAAAATAAATCAACGACAGCCGTCTTATTACCACGTTGTCCCAGAAGAAACATCTCGTGACGGGTAAAGCATGTTAGCTTTCTCATGGCGTTGGTTACAGAAGAATTTCTAAACTGCTGGTGGTTCCTTTCAGCACTGTTGGGGGCAAAAATCAGGAAGTGGAAATAACATCATTTTCACCCTGAACTGGTCAATCAAGGTCCAGAATTATCAGAAAAGCTGTCAATAGAGCCAAGGACCACCTTGGAGGGGGCCGTAATGGGGTGGGCCTGCTTTTTTTTAGGACGCAGCAGCTGGCACACAAATGATTAAAAAAATAATAAATCGGCTGCCGTTTACCAGGATGATGAAGAGGAAACGAGGGCGGACCTAAGAAGAACAAACGCCCGGCCAAGAAAACTCAAGAGAAACTTCAGAGAGAGAAAAACGAACTGGGGGGAGAGTGGCCTGGGTTGGCCGGTGCTGATTTACTGTGCATGTGACCTGAATAAATACACTTCTGTACTTCGACCAATTCTCTGGATTACTCTCAGGCTTCCAACAAAACATTCGGGCTAACAGGTGTAAAGACGCCTGAGCCTTTTGTGAACTAGGCGGCGTGAAGCCGTGATTACAGAATATTCCTCATTGTTGCAGGTGACATCGTTTGTGGGCATCATCTGCATTCTGCTGCGGGCCAATCACAGCGTGGCACCTCGCTTTTCCTTTAATGAACCTCGAGTGCGCGGCGGCTAACGAGCTGATGCGGTGCCTGCCTGTCGCTCGGCGTGGGAGTCATTTGGCGAGCCTCGGCGAGTGAAAGTAGTTTGAAAAGGGGCGGCGTGGCTGTTGAGCGGAGGCCGCGAGCTGCTGATGGCAGTCAGCTGTCGGGCGGCGGCGCTCCGATGGCTCCCCTAGCTGCTTTATGGCGGAGGGGCGCCATGGCGGTAATTAACTGTGCTAATGTGCTGCGGCCCACTCTGTACAAGATGATGCCATCCCCTCCTATGGGCCCTCGCATCTGACTCCATCTCCGCTCTGGGTCTTCAACCTCCTCCACAGAAAGAACAGAAAGGCATAAAAGCCTCCATTTTATCCAGGAATCCAGTCTTTGACCAGCAGGGTGAGTCCAAGCTGGACAAGATGAAGCCCCTGCACCTTCTCTATGGAAAAGACTCATCAATGGAATTTAGAGACCAGCCGACCAAATCAATGGTTTAAGTCTTTAGGATTTAGAGCAAAAATGCAGAGAAAAGCTCTGAGATACAACAGGACAAAGCACTCAATGCACTCATCAGGCATTAAAAAATATATAAATTTCATAGTGAGGCCCACCTAAATAGCCTTTGCCCCGACCAGGCCCCCTCCAAGAAAGAAATCCTGGACAGACCCTCATACATTAACGCATGAAAACTATTCATTTGTTTCTTCCATCCTGATCAAACCAGCAACAGTTTCGACACAGTGGAGGGATTTACAGAGGAGGTCAGCGGTGCTTGTTGTTTGGAGAGGCCTTCTGAAGCTCACTCCAAACACAAAGCCGTGTGCTCGTCACTTACTCTGCACTCCAGGATTTTCCGTTTGGACTCGTCCAGCTGGTGCTGCAGGTCCCACACCATCTCCTTGTATTTGGTGTAGCGCTGCTCCACCATCTCCTTCTGCTGCTGAGATTGCTGAAGGGGGAGGGGGAGAAAAAGACTGTAAAAGCCTGAAAAATGCTAAGGACCGCTAAGGATTTAATCCAAACTTTACCTCTAAATCTTTAAAGTCCTCCATCAGAACGTTTTTCTCTGGAATGAAGTCCAGTTGATCCAGTGCTACTTTTGTGTTCTGGAAGCACCGCGTCCCAAAAAAAAAACAGACAGTTAAAAGAGGAGATTTTAGGGAGAGTTCATTAAAAATGAAGCCCCTGTCTATCCCTTACTTATTAATAACTACATAATATAAAATAGACACAAAGGGAGTTAAGTAGGACCGTTCAGAAGTTTAAACCTGGATATAAAGAAGGACGCAGGAGCAGGAACAGGAACAGATAATTAACAGTCGGAGAGTGAATTCTGGGTGAAAAAGATATCCACGAATACATCCTTGCTGTGCAGGCTCCCTCTTATTTCCTCTCCCGATTCGTCGACTAATCAGCGGGTCATAAAGTCAGAGAAAAACACGGATCCAGCCGCTCGGCGCAGCCTTCACATTTGACCATTGGAACAGGCACCTGCCAGCACAGATTGAAGGCTGCTTTTTGTTTGCTTTTACTGGTATGTGTTAACTATGTGAACTTGACCGTAAACTAAGTTTGATGGTTCTGAAACTTCATAGCACCAAGTCCTAACATATCTAAAGATGAGCACTAACTGCGAGCTGTTTTTTCTTCATTCGACCATGATTTAGTGCCGTTTTAGCCATCAACACTAACTCCATTTATTGTACAAAAAATGAAGTAAAAAAATGCCAAGGAGGCTAAATAAACACTTGTTCATTTCATTATGATTCTGTCTTGATGCATAAAACACTACACCTGAAAAAAAGGGGAGAAAACACTTTATTTTTTCATTTGAGGTTGTGAAGGGACCGTTTCCACCCCCAGGGGCACATCTTCTTCTACACTAGCTTTAGCATCAGGTAGGTCCATCCAGCGCCTATGGAAGGGGAGCCAAAACAAGACATGACCAACTAATCTGACTTTCTATTTCCATTCAAATGTGAGATGTTTTGCTGGGAGTCGTGCACACCAGCCCGACCAAAGAAAAATGATCTCACTCAATTTGATTGTACACACATAGCTGATGGTGAACACGTGTAACATATGAAACCTGGATACCTTTCAGAGCGGTTCCAGTTCAAACTGGGATCGCCGTGTTTTCCTGCCAGGCCCTGAGAGCTGCGTTTGATAATGGAAGACAACTTTAATAGACAGCTGTCATCCCTTGGTAATCCTGACTCCGGTTGAATTTGTGGTCCCTTGTTGCACCAAAAGCTGTTTCAGCCCTCATTAAAAAGGTTTCTGCCTGTCTAAATGGTGACGTCAAACCCGTTAGCTTACTCAAAGGGCAACTGAGGACCATTCTGTTAATCAGTTAGCTGTATATTTCAGCAGATTCCCTGTTCCCATTCAAATGTAACATTTAAGCATCATAAGCGCCGGCCGTTTGAAGGCGTCACACTGACTGCCTCAACGGGCGGTACGCTGACAGACGAGAGATTCTCTGGATGATCCCGCGCACCCCAGCTCAGTGGAATACAGATCAATGTGTCCTGCCAATATGCAGCTGCAGCCGGCGGAAAATGTGGCAGCTGGCGTGGGTCCAGGGGCGTCTCCCACCTCAATATCTTGTAACAGCCACTTAAAGGCTGAGGTTAGACAGGCTGTGCACATAATTGTGACGGATATCTAGCGGGCCTCTGACAGGTTATTTTTTTCTGTTTTGTTTTGTTGTTTTTTTCCGAGGAGAGTAAAAAGGTGCGGGAGTCGATGCGACCTTTCAGGAGTAATTAATTGATTAACGAATTGCTGACTAGCATCTAATGGCTGATTAAGCATGTTGGGGGTGGGCATTAATAGCGCGGAGGGTGGATCGATACGGCGCTGTCAGGGCGGCGTGGTTCTTTGCGCCATCGGGAAGACTTATGATGATTAACAGGGCGCTGGGCCTTGACTAAAACAATTATTTCTATCCCTGAGCTAGCCTCCATGGGTTGCTATACGAATAAAGCCTCCCCCGCTTAAATCAAATGATGTAAGTCATCGTGAGTTCCAATCTGACTTCAGGGCGCTTAACGATGTTAATCAGATTTTCAAAGTCGGGACGATGTGTGAGCAGCGAATATGGACAGAATGCAATGATTTGGACTTTCTTAGTTGCAAACCAATAATTTATTCAATCTAAAATATAGAATGTCTATCAAATGCTGAGAGATGCTTCACCATCTTGTGAGAAATATTTACTCACAGTAGCAGTCTCTGGGCTAAAGTTATGCAGAGGTACAGAAACTAATGTAAATCTGAGGCTGAAAATTGTTAATCATTTAAAGCTGTCAAACTTCAATAAACTGCATCAAATAATGTCAATAAATATTCTGGGCAAAGGCAAAAAGAAATCTGCCACCAGGTTGCACTGCATGCACAACATTACAACAAAAAATAAAAAAATAAAACACTGGAATTTCCCATCAGTTATTTATGGGATTTACGGATACTGTAGCCGCTTCACTTACTTTAATAGCCTTGAGTATAAACCAATGTACATATAAATGGGAAGTAACTTAAATGCATCATTAGTAGAGAATATTGTATGCCTGGACCTTTCACCAGCTGAAAACAGGACACAAGAATCAGGACTGTTAATCCGCTACAATCTTCAAATCAGATACAAGCAGAACAACATTCCTCTCCTAAAGCTCCAGGAACCGGTCTTCTGGTTCTCACACCTGAGCCCCAGGACTATTTTGAGACTTGCCGCCATCAGATTCTAAATGAACTTAAATTCTACCCACAGTATGATGTTTCACTTACATCATTTTAATTAGTTTTTCCTGCTTCCATTGTGAACACGCTGCAAATTTAGCCTTGCTAAGGACGGATTTGGCTTACCATTTCCAGATCCAGAATGCGTTCCTGGAAGGACAAAAACAACTGACAAATTGCACTTTGTGGGGATATGCAGATGAACATTAATCAATCAAACAGAATCATAAAGAAAAATGTTAAGAACTAGAGCATGCAGGAGTCTTCATGGTGTCAAAGAATGCTGCCGTGAGGCTGTCACAGTGAGTTCGGAGGAACTTGGGGAGGCAACGGGGTGGTCCATCAGAGCGGGTGAGGGGTAAGCGGGGGCTCAGGGGAGTGTGCAGCACATCACTGACACACAGACTAAAGGCTCTCGCCACTCATCCAGCTCCTGGCTGAAGTTCCCTGTCTAACAATGCATAAGAGGTGCTGTGGCTCTTATCTGCCACTCAAACTCGCACCTGCTCTTCCCTTCAACTGCCTGCTTTTCCCCCTCCGCCTGCACAGCGTTGATGATGGGGTACTCCCCCCCCCCCCTCCACAATACATCAGCTCTAACTTCAATCTAACTCCTCTATGTCCCTCGCTATCACTCTTTCCTCTTTACATAGAAATCTCTCCCTCTCTATCCTCATCCTCTGTGATTAAAAGCTCGGCTTCCTCTCAAAGCGATTGCAGGCTCTGACAGGTGCTATTATGCACACCCAACACACACACACTTTTTTCCAGGTTTCGTTGCTGAATACACACGCAAACATCTGCTTTCCAGTTTAATGGAGCCAGTGAGGCACCGGGTGACAGTTAATTCAGAATTAGGTGAGTGGGTGGCCTACAAAAATGCAGCAGTGTGAAAAACAAACAAACAAACCAAAATACGATACGATGCCTTTAGTGGCTTTGAAACTCCGAGGCCTCGTGTCTCCGGCAATTAGCTATTCGTCCACCCTTGGCTGCAAGGACCCTGTCAGGAACAGCGCTGGAGCACTGAGAGCCCGCTAGCCTCGCCGTTTCTTTAGAAACTAACCATCCGACATGCAAAAGGACAGGATTTTATGGGAAATGTGCTTTGTATTGCACAGCCTCTCCTTGTATTGGGCATATTTAGTCAGGTGGACATAAAGGAATCTTTTCTGCTGGGTGCTCACAAAGCGACAGTGCATGGATTAATAAAGATAAATGGTGCCGACCTGAAGGCTTCTCATTTCTTCCTCCTTCCTGCGAGTCCTCTCCAGCAGCCCTGGAATGAGACGTTGGTGTTAGATAACATGGCACTGTTCGGAGGCTCAGCTCTCAGATCCCCCATTAGCTCTGAAAATAATGATATCTGAAGTTCAAACCTCCTATTTCATTTGCTACTCAACGGTTTTTGTTTTCCACATGCAATCCATCTGCGGCAGTTACTCTGAAGGCTGTAGGGCCGAGACAAAAAGGCCAGAGTCAGGCTGCAAACAGCCCTCACCTCTTCTTACAAGTGATCACCACAATTGTGTATTGTCCTGGCAGCATTGCGCTTTCTGTGCAGGCCTCAGTAACATCACTGGATAACTAAATTGGTAAGACTGGAGCACCTCAGCAGCCTTAGAGAGATCAGATCATATTCCTCCAGTTTGACCTTCTCTTCATAGGCTCCCTGTAAGGATCTGAGAAGAATTCAAAATGTTGCTACTCACATATAAAGCTCCAAATAACTAAATGGATTTGCTACCAAAATATAAATATACACTGCCTTGGATTGACAGTTTAAAAATAGAATGTAATGATTTGTAAAAATCTGAATCCTTTTGCAAGCCATTTGCCTTTTTGAATTGTTCTTGTAACTGAAAAACACATCTGGTGCCAAGTCTCGGGTTGAGAGCACTGCCTAAATACGACACGCACTAACACTGCCATCACTCCTCTGACAGCCGACGCCAGCCTCTGCAAACCTTTAACTTGCACTGCTCTTTTATTTGACAGGACACCCACCTCATAATAGGTCCACAAATTTAACAACCAGTTTCTTGAATACGACTGAACCTCTTCCTCAAACAGATGCGAGCAACTCACACGGGTCGAACCACCTGACAGAAATACTCAAGGGGGGAAGGGGGGGGGGAGGGCTCAACTCCAGCCTCTGAGTCTGTTCCAGCCAACTTTGAAACGGGCAGAAGAGAGATAGGAATAGCACTCGTTTGCTATCTTTGCTGACTCCCACTTGGTCTCATCTCACCTGAAAGCTGTGGCAGGTTCTGTTATACTAGAACCCCTGTTATCTGCACACACAGAGACAAGGCCAACAGGGAGCACTGCACCAGGGCTGAGCCGATATAAACAAAGTCATTCCTGACACAAAGAAATTCTCTGACAGAATAGCTGTGTGGCTTTCTAAGATTAAAACACGTGCCTAGTAGAACTAGTAAGAGTTGAGTGTGGATGGTTGTACCCTTTGCAGGTTTAATTACCACAGCCACAGGTGTGAGAAAAGACAAAGCCAACTGGCTCTTATGTTTCAAAATGTCTGACCAACTTTTTTTGAAAATATCCTTTGCTAAATACATTCTTTCTATGTGAACTGAGGATGATATTTGTTTTTCAAAGGAAGCTGTGCTGAATTCAAGATATCAGTAATTGTGTCTGGTATCTGATTTTACTCATAAATACAGAAGGTCTGTGCAGCAATGCTTGATCACTATCTGAACGTTTTCCTTAAAACAGCTGAAACGTGGACTCCCTTGAACACAGAACATTTATCTATTGTCTCATGTCTATTAAGCCTGCTCTTTTCTGTGTGTAATCAGGATTCAGGTTAAATTTTTAGCAATTTTATGCATCGTAGCTGGTATTGAGGTAAATATTTCTTTGGACTGTGATGAGCGACAGCTCAATTCTTCTGGGAAAGGGTTGAGTTTTTATACCCAATCGTGACTCCCTCACTTTCCCTACATAATTATTTGTTTGGAGAGTCTTTTAGAGAACCTATTTGTGTCTGCTATTTTCTTTTGATTTTTTAAAAAATTCCTCTTTTTGTTTTTTGTTTTTAGTATATGAATCAAATCTTAATGTTGGTAATATTTTCTGTATTAATTTAAATTGATCTGTGATTTTTTTGTTATTCAACTTAAACCTGATGCACTAGTAATTCTGTACAATAAAGACCTTATGCAAATAATTCACAAAGCTGTCTCATATAAGTTAACTGCTACACACAGCGAAGTCAGATCTAAGCTAAAATCTTCCGGCTGTTGCCAATCGCATTAGTATTTAGAAACATGTTGCTTTAAAACATGATATAAAGAAAGCAAATGAGTGGGGATGTAAAACATGTTGCTATGCAACAGCGAAAGGAAAGGTGTATGGTGGAATGTTCACAGGTGGCTTTTTGTAAAAAAAAAAAAAGCTAATATTGTCAAAGGTTCGGGGAGATGCTCAAACAGGTGTGAGATACAGAAAATGTGAACGTTTGTTGACAGGCACACAATGGGGATTAGCTCTCTGTGAGCATGTTAGCTGAGCTGCTCCAAAAATACAAAGCAACTGGGCGTCTGTTGAGTCATTTCTTAGTAGCATATGTTCTGTGGGTGTAAACAGAACGTGTGTGAATACATGCTGAGAAATAAGCTCCACTATAAATAAATGGTATGTTAATTAGCCATGTGCTCATTCTGGCTGGGATGTTGCGCCCTTCTCCAAAGCACATTGGCGTGATGAAACCGTTATGGCTGGAAATCCTTCAGTGAAAGGAAGTACAGGAAATACATGCAGACATTTCTGATTGCACCAGATCAGTGAGTCTTCATATTCTGGCAGATTTTCAAATGTAGAATTAGCTGAATGTAAGTGCTGAGAGTTGTTAGAGCTTTACTGATAATGGAACAAAGTCATTCTGAAATGAGCCGTATGCATCTGTGAATCATCTAACAGTACAGCGACAATCGGACAGATAGTCCTGACATCTGCCCTTTCAGAAAGATTATGACGAAATCCAGCTGCACCTCTGTCTCTGTCATTTTCTGTGTTAATGGGACACACATTACTGGGAAAGAAAAAAAAAGCAGTAGTTCTCTCTCTGCCATTTACCGCTCATTAGGCAAAATTTTGTCAAAAGTGGGGCAGAGGATGGAAAAAACAAGTCTATTTGCCTCTGAAAACTCAAAGTACAAAACCATTAGGGTGCTGCTTTCTCCAACATTTGTAAGTGTAGAGACAGACCTCCGCAAAAAAACAATGCATTAGCTTCACAGATTCACAGACAGCCATTTTCCCAAGCACCCATTACAACAAAGCACATAAAAACCATTAAGTAGCAGCTCTGATTTTCCCTACATGTGTAATTACAAGTAAAGAGGAGAAGAGGGAAGAAGAGAGAGGGGTCTGACTTAACTTTGTCAACTATGGCACACACACACCTTCACTAATGTGTAACCAAATATTATCATCAGCCTTATTCATGTCAGATGATGCTGTTTTTGCCCCTCTAACAAAGTCCTACCTATCTTTTCGGTGCTGAGGGAGTGCAGCAGCTTCTCCTGCTGGTCCAGCTGCTGCTGCAGGGCCGCCTGTTCTGAGCCCTGGCTCTCTCTGAGGGCTTTTAGCTGATCCTTGGTTTGCTGATACTGCCTCCTCAGACGCTGCTCTCTCGAGTCGCGGTCCCGCACCTCCTCGCTCAGCCAGCGCAGCTTGCTCTGGATGGTTTAGGAGACACGCACATGATGGTGGACGAAACTTGGGTCATTAAAGAGATTGTATAACTATGGGCCTCCTTTTGCATGCACCATACCCTAAAAACGCCCAGTGGGAGCAGAATCTTTACTCTAATGTGTCTCAGCAAAAGAAAATGATTGGTTCCAACTGCGTATAACCCACCTAAATCATGTCCCTTACTCCTGCTGCCATCACTACTTTCCTCAGCAGGTTTAAAATGACCAAAAGGAACTTATTTTTCTCGGACACTCTGACCATCAAACAAGAAGTGAATGTTTTCACCTATATATATCTAACATGGTTACTGGATGGATTAGTGTCAGAAACCACAGCTTTTATCTTTGTTAGTGCTCTTTCAAGCCGTACGGCTGTCAAAAACTGTATCTCCTTAAAGCCCAACACAACAGGCTGAAGGTGGCACGGGATGGCATGGTTGAAGTCATCATGAGCATATTGGCTGCTTACCATCTGAGCAATGAGTGACATGGAGAGGAGGCTGCCTCTGTGTGGGTATCACACTATGCTTTGATCTAAAGTTACTTACAAACAAGCAGCGTAGAGGAGTACTTTGTGGTTTTGACACTGACTGAAATTGCAATGAGCTTTTAGCTCAAAGGCCTTCTTACAGCTAGGAGGCCACAGAGCTAAACAGCTAGTTCAGGTGTTTATGTGTACAACTTACTCAGTAGTTTAGAAGCTGACAGCTGTCTGACTCAATGAGTAAACTTTTTAGTCAAGCCCACCTTTGAACGACCACCACTTACCTAATAATTTCCAAAACCCATTGGAAATTGAAAACAAATTACGCTGAAAGGTCCATTAATTTGAAGTGGGCATCTGATAAACAAACACCTTCCTTTTTCTGCCTGCCCCCCCCATTTTATTTTGTTGGACTGAGAAGCATTTAAGCTAAATTTCATCCAGCTTGACACCACAGAGAGTGATTGGTCCACAAGTCCTTAACATAGTCTGTGATTGGTAGGTAGAGTGGGCACCTGGAAGGCTAATGACGATACCAAAAACAAAAACCTCCTTTCAACAACTACGTGACACTTTCCATTCGCCAAAACATGGACATTTTCTCTCCCCCCAGGAAAGCACAGCACCATTAATGTGGAGCCCTTTATGGGCTCGGCTTGCCTTGAAACTCGACCGAATACTAGTGCGATTTGTTATGGAAAACCAGAAAAGAAAAAAAGATTCATTTGGAGGAAAAAAGGCAGGCATATGTATATATATAGATGTTTTATAAAACAAATAACAGCTCCTTATTGTGCTCTGCTTATGAACACAAAATAATCACAACAAATTGTGAGCTCTGTGCCACTCATTGCAAAAGCCTCCCACACAGTAGACGTAAAGTGAACCACTTATGTTTAAATTAGTCACACCAGTCAATCAAGAGAGGTGGAAGTGTGCTGCTCTTGGTCATAGTATAACTTTACCTTTGTCTCTGCCAGCCAGAGGTGTGGATCTTTCACTAACCCTGGTCTCTGGGAGATGACCTGTTAAGAGAGGAAAACAGATACGCACATGTATGTTGTTGCATGTAATCGAAATATTGTGGATGTTAGCTTTTTAAGTGGCCCAAAAAATATTCATCAAGACAAAACTGCGAGCGGGCAAACAAAGAGGACACAAATGGAAGGAAAACCCTTATTGTTAGTGAGGGTTAGCAGCCAGCTTAAACGATCATGTGTCTTGAACAGCCGATCACACAACACACGACGCAAGCACACCTCTGAGCAGAGGTTGTGTAACAGAAAAATGACATCGGGGACAGCATTCCGTCCTTCCAGGCATCGCTTGTCGGCATCAGCAATGCAAAGTGACACCCGAGCCCCGCACAGGGAAACAAAAAGGCACATATGCAGATGAGCGCGGTGCTTATCCATGTGGATATGTAAAGCAACTTGTCAATAAAGTCAATATCGATATCTTTCGATCAAAGGAAGGAACCATTTCTCTGTGGCTTCGTGTGGTGGCTGCTGAACTTCTGAGAACGTCTTTTCTTTTCATGCACAACAAAATGGAAACAATCGATTCCGTATTCTTTGAAGTTGAACAAGACATCTCAGTTGCCTTGCTGAAATCTCGCCCTCCAGGAGACGGCGATTATTGTACAGATCTTGTGGGCATCCAAGTTTCCCATCTTATATTTGCAGAAACACCCAGATTTTAAAAGCACTGTCCAATAAAGTTCACTGGAGTGAAAACTTCAAAAGCAAATGGCGCAGCAGAGGAGAGCAAGCACTTCAGGCCCAGATTCAACAGTTCACTCCATCTCAAAACCAAGGGACACACTTTTGGGGACAGCTACGTGTGCATGCAGAAAAGACAGATGGTAAAGGAAGCCATTCAGACTAAACTTGAGAACTCAACTTTAAAGAGAGGAAGGGGGTCTCTGGTGTCACCCTCCATGCACTTACAATGCAACACTGTCCCTCCACCCTGAGCGGTTTCATCCCCATGCACACCTTGGACACTGTGACCAAAAACTCTGCCTTCCCAGACAGTTAACGCAATTTCAGGTGAGAATGACATGAAAGAGTCTCACATTGACCAGGAGCTCCAGACTGTAAAGACCCTCTCTGCTCGAACCTGATAGTCCCCGACGTGTGGTTTAGAACTGAAAAAGCCTTTCAAAGAGAAGCCCACTTGCCTTTGCTTGCAGCTCTCAGGATTACCATGACCTGGATGAACGAGAAAATCTACACCGGCGTACTCCCTGTCACTCAAAACAGGGACGATTATCTCAAGCTGTCACTGTGGCGGCTCAAAGCGTGACACCAGAGTGGAGCTGCCATGCAGAGGTCCCCGTCTGAGACAGCCTGCGCATGCATGTGACTTTGTAGGAGGATGAAACACCTCTGAGCTCCTCTCTTAGCTCTTACTTGAACCATGAAAAGGCGGTTTGTAGCTGCGGCAGACACAACGAAGGGAAAGATGTCTGGGAATGGAGGGGAAAAAAAAAAACCTTAACAAGTAGTCAGGGAGTTGAAAGAGCTGCCGTTTTCTAAGCGGTCCTGCTTGGGAGTCATCTTAAAAAAACGCTCCCGCTCGGTTTGTTGCGTCTCTCAGTGGGGCGGAGAGGTCTGTAGCGCCGTGTTTTTGAAACGCAAAACGAAGCAGACTGCAAGTCGAGATTGCGTTTTCGTAGCAGAGACTGTTGGCGCTCACTAATAAGGAGGAGGACAGGGGGTATGCGATTGCCTGATTCTACGATGTGAATGATCCTGATCTGACAGGTGATCAGCTTGTCATTGGAAACTTCATCAGATTAACGATTAAACGGCCCCGGTTTAGCCGGTAATTATGACACAACTAGGCCACTGCTCAGCTCAGCGGATGCACGGCTCATCTCAGAGGTGCAGATTTACCAACGTCTACTTCGGCTGCTTCCCTTTACAACTTGAAGGAAAAAAAAGATCTAAGCGGCATGTAAAGAATAAATATTAAAACCAAACCTACCACAAGCTGGACTGAAATGCCACTTTCACCAACATTTAATTCTGTCTTATTTCTGATAAGAGGGCATTTAAAAACTAACCAGTATGATGTAATCACTTAAACCTTGAAAAAACGGTGTAAAAATATAGGCAACATTATTATCTTTCCTGAAACCCTAAAAGTTAGCGTTAACTCTTTATTCAAGGCAGGGTTCGAGCCCATAGTTACAAATTTTACTGACCATTTTTCTGCTATTGTCTTAGCTTGTTTATGAAAGGCAAAAAATTAAGTGTTAACAAGCTGCTATAGCTAACACATGAGGAAAAAAAGGAAGCATCCAAAAGACTAGAGGCTGTGCCTGTCACCGCATTGCCCCTGATTTCGTTTTGGTAACTTCATACCTGTACCCTTTCTCTCAAAGTTCTCGATGTAGCTCTAATTGCTGATCTTACCTCTGTTAAAAGTCACACAATCCTCTGGGGCGGTTCTTTTCTTCCTCTGAAATTCTACAGGACCATTAAAGCCTTTTCAAAGTAGGGCAAAACCCAATTCAAAAGACCAAGCCACAACTGCAAACCAATTGTTAAGGGGACTGTAATGATTGTAGATTCTACTGCTTTGGATTTTAAAACATGAAAACATGTAATGGGTCATCAAAGAGAAACCCTGATAACCCAAACCCATCATATCATTCAAGATTCCATTGGACTTAAGGGTTTTGAGGGGGTAACGGACCAGTTCCCTGGCAAGTTTGACTTCTTTTCAACGTGATGGATTTTGAGAAGATGAGAGAATCTGGCTTGCGTGTCTGAATGCAGACCTCTGGACCGGTGAGACATATTCAGTGCACATTCTTTTATTTAGTATGCATCGATAGGTGCGTCTGGAATTTAAAACTTCAAACCTGCACTGAGGAAAATACTCAATTTAGCTGGGTGAAGCATCCCAAGTAGTATTTCAAAGCAACAAAAACATATATAATAAAGAACAAACTGTTCATGGACCCTTTCCCTTTTAAACCTGTACAGACATATCAATGTTAAATAGTGTTTGAAAAGCTCCAAAAAACATGGAAGTAGCATTATCCCTGCCCCACCTTTTACATTAGAAATACTGTTTAAATGCTGTTTTAAACCAAAGTGCAAGCAGCTCTCTGTAAGAAGAGCAAATGTTTTATGACTGGAGGCTGAGCTGCCTGTTCCTCACCAAAACACTGATCAGTTGAGATGGAATAAGTATTGACGCGTGCTTTTTATGTCTACTTAAGTAATAGTTGACGCATTAGCGTCGCTTCCAATGAGCTGATTAAAAAAAACCTGCTGCTTTGGAGAGTCAAGTCATCTTTTAAAAAAGGTGTTTGGCTGGACTGAACCGACTTCTCTAAGAAGCCTACAAATCATCAGCATAGCTGAGCTTAACAAAGCTTTCATAGAGTGGCACAGTGCAGAGATTCTGGGGTTTTATTAGATGAATAAAGTTGATTTAAAACCCATTCACAAGACTCAACAAAGTCCCTTGCTGTAAACCAAAAAGGATGGGGAAAAAAAGATAAAAAAACAAGATAAACGAATTTCATCACTGGTTGTTTCATCCCATTTTCCACGTCGACAAAAGCCAGCTGTTGTTTTTTATACTGGTACGCAGATTAGTCGACATATTTCGAGTTTATCTCAGATTTTGCAACTTTCCAAACTTATCTTATTTCCTGCTTCAATAGCAGTAGCAAGTAATGACGCCGGACTCCTAAAAGATCGGGTCTCCCTGCTCTCTGACTAAGCCTAAAAACTGTAGAAGCCCATTTCAACAAACACTGCTCAGTGTGAACTGACAGACAGCCAGAGTTAATAAGACTCCAGCTTGTTTGATCTTTTTCTTACTTGGCCTCTCGCCTTTATTAGGAAGAGATCGCCTGAGTGCGGACAGGAGAGTGTGGACAGAAAGAGACGCGTTGCTTCAACAGCCTCAACATAAAGGGGCAAAAGCTCTCTGCAGTGAGCTTCACAAAATGCCCCGACAAAGAACCAATTAAGACAATTCAGCATCCAGTGTATTAAACACGAGTCGGTTGCTTTTTTCTTCACAGAAGGTCGTAGACTGCTGCCACCTTTGAGTGGACGAGGAGCTAGTACTTGTTTTGTAACAATAACAATTCCTAACAGCAGCTCTAAACTCACGAGTGCCAAAGTTACCTGCAGTTTGTCTTGTCTGTTCCTCGCCAGGCCTCGGCACGCTGCGTCCAGCTCCTCGCCCAAAGCAGTGAGGATGGCCTCTTGCTCCGTCTCCATCTGCAGCACCTTCTTCTCCAGCCGGACGAGCTCCGACTCCGACGCCCGCCTCTGCTCCCCTGATCTGACCTTTCCAAACCAGCAACGGAGGTGCAAATGTTGACCACATAATGTTATTGTGACCGAGCGGACAGAAAACTTTGGACCTGTCGGGATTCATCGACAGTTAGAGATCGCTACCACGACAAAACCGGTGGATATATCAGAGGACAGGAACTCGGTGATTGGTGCTGCCTTGGGACAATGGACCATTATCCTGCCTCTGAGAAAATAAACCTCCCCCGTCACATTAATAAGAGCCTTTTTTTCCGCACCAGTATGAAATCAATATGTGAAAAAGCATCCTACTTATCAGGGTCCTGTCGGGACGGTGAATTGGGCTCAATACTTCATCAGTGTATAAACACCTCGGGGCAAATAGATAAATACGCTTTATAAGATGGCTTATTAGGCAGTTAACCTATAAAGTATTGTTTTAAAGAGTCACGTGGTCTCAAGAGACAAGTGGATTTTAAGGCCAGGAAAGAATAAAGAAAGCTACGTCTTTCTGAATTCCACATTTCTGCACAGAAACAACAAGTTCTGAAAGAATGTGCAAATGTACTCATTGGCAGACAGAAAACACAGCAACCCAGTCACATGCTTGCTTTGCAGTTGCTGTGTAGGTCTGTGTTATTTGTTGTGTATCTGTGCTGCTAGTGTTGTTGCTGCTTATGCGCTTTGTTAAGGTGTTCTTTGTTTTTTTCCTCTCGTCTGCACCTGATGGGCCTGGAGGTGGTTCTGTTTTCTACAGATAAAGTAGCTGGTTGTAGGGTTTTGGTTGTCTTTTTTTCATACAAGGAATCTCTTTCTGTTTCTGTTTTGTTTCTTCTTCTTTCCCCTCTTCCTTTTGTTGTCTGCCTGTCAGGTTTTGCATTACTCATTAAATGTAAAGTATTGTAACATAAATAAATAAATAAGACGTACAGGGAAAATCAAGGGGGGCTTTTCACTCATAAAGCTTCCCCTGACAAAGCAAACATGTTTGGCATAACGCGGAATTCAGATTAGAATTCTGCTCACATAATGCTGAAGAGGAAAAGGTAAAATAATAATAATAATAATAATAATAATTAAAATATGATAAAAGAGGTATGGCTTACTTTTTCTCCCAGTTCCTGTTTGAGGAGCTGGCATTTCCTTTGAAGAATTGAATGAGCCTCCTCTTTGGAGCTCAGCTGTGCTGCTAGCTTATCACACTCGTCCTTCATCCTGTCCAGCTTGATCTGCAGTGCCCCGCAGAGCTCCTTGTCCGACGCTGCTTCTTCCTGGAAGAGAATGGTTAATGAGGAAGAGGGTGACGACATCTTGAGATCAAAAAAGGCTGCCGCTTTATCTCTAGCGAGGAAAATGGGGAGCGGCTTTTAGCTACAGGGGTTTTTAAAGGTTTATAACTTAATACAGACTCTGCTGCACAGATGGGATTCAACGTAGGATGCCCAACAGCACAAACACTTAGGGTGGCGCTTAAGATTGAACACATTCAATTCACCAAACTCCATGACTCGGTTTTCTGTTCTGTAAAAGCTGATACAACTGAAAAGCCCAGAAAAAGTCTGGAGGCCAGAACACACCACCATCAAAATAAGAAGCTCCTGTTCTATGAAACCCAGACATCAATAACCACACTTTCCTACAGAAATATAGATTTTGACTGAACCTGCTTCCATGCTGGTACGTCCAGTCTTATTTATTTTATTTTTTTTAATAATTCCAAAAACTGAAATAAAATTTGAGAAGGGAACTTTCTCTTCTTGTGCAACAACATTTTGAACACTGACCGACATCGAGAAAAATGAATGAAAAGTTTAAGCAAGTATTTTAATCTACTTCATCTTTTTTTTTTTTACAATTCATGTATTCATATAGATGAGGAGTAATTGAGAAATAACCTGAGCTGAGAAACCCACTGTCCGTTCAGAAATAAAAAATAATAATAATAATAAAAATAAAAAAATAAAAATAATCCTCACATTAGTCCATACAATCAGTTTGTAAAATATGTCAGAGTAATGTGTTTTAAAGTTGAGACTCATTAAATCCCACTACATGGCGCAGCTATTGTACCTGCTGATAAAAACTGATAGACAATCTAAACTATGTTTTCCTTTGACAAGTGGGGAATAAATGCACAAATATTACAAGCTCAACTTGAAAAAATAGCACTAGACTCTCTTTAGTGGCAGGTCGTGACAAGAATTGTGTGCCGGGCGTGTTCCACCCTTAACAGACCGTGACCCTTATATCGTGGCGCAACCCTTTTTAACCCTGTCGATTAACCCCACTTGCAGAAGGAAATCTTCAGACATTATCCCCTGTGTAGCATTTAAAAATTGGACTGAATGACTCCTAACTGTGGGGTGAAACGAGAGCAGCTGAGAGCGAGAATGCAAAATAAGTGGAGAAGGAGAAGGAGAGGAATTAAAAGAGAGAGAGACAAAAAGGACAAAGATATTAGAACGTCTTAATCTTTTAACTGACAGTTGGCCCTGTTGCAGTTGTTGTGTAGGTTTCCAGCTGTGTCATACAAATATTGTGGGGGCTACTTTGGGAAATGTACCCTTAGGCTGATATTTTACTATATTTCACACACTATGTCCTTCACCGTACAAGGAATCGACATCATCTCAACGAGCTATGTGGGATATTACCGCCGTTCGGCGCAGCTAATGGGCTAAGCACGAGCCTATCGGGGAGGGCCGTGCCCCTTAAGAAATGGCGTGCCCAGGAGGGCTCATCATTTGAAAGACTGAAGGTAAAGAGGAGGCTGAGGGAGCAAGTTAAGAGACGTCCCATATCTCCAGCACAGCATTAATGAGCCTTCTGAAGCCTGATGTGTTGGTTTTAAAATATTCACCCTTGCGGTTCTGGCAGAGAAGAGGAGGTCCACGGGGGCAGAGAACATCGCTAATAGCTCAGCAACCCTTGGTTTACTTGTACTCAAAGGACAAGCCCCAGCCAAAAACAAAAAAAAACTATATATTGGATTTGTCTGCTCAGAAATATACCAGATGTTCAGTGGCTGGGGCAAGTTACCCCGCTCCACATCCAAGTTGTGAGCTAGTGATATTCTAAATGCCAATTACATGGTGCCATTGGGTGAAAAGATTTTACAAATTAAGAAAAGCACGACGTCTCAAACATATCCAGGGACCGGCTTGGCTTTGGAGGCGAGCCCTGCTGGATATTTAAAGGATCCGTTTACATTTTTAAGCAATGTCTTACGACAGCCAGATGTGGAGATTAACACTCCTTTGTACGGCCAGTTTCCAGCGGAACTCGTAGGGGCCTTTTGAATGGTTCTGGTCTCAGGTAATAACAACAGTTTAACATCCCTTCTTAAGCTTTCGAATAAACGGGTATTATCAGTTTTAATCTGCAGTTAAATAATTACATCTCAGGCTGTGGACACAGCTGCCAGGCAACCTGAAGGAACACCGGACGGTAAATGTCACTGATCTTTTCAACAAACCTATTTATCCACCTTGCAGATTATTTTAAACTGAACTTAACCAGAGGCTAGTTGCATTTAATTTATTTATTGATTTCCTAAACCAGGTCCTACCTTGACCTCTCTCAGTTGTGCCTTTATTTCGTCTCGGTCCTGACGACAGAGCTTAAGCATCTCCTGCAGCTCGCGCTCCCTCCTCGTCCTGCCGTCCTCAGCCGCGGCCTTTACGCTGTCCAGCTCCCTCTGGTGTACGTCCCTCTCCAGCTGCAGCTGCTGGCCCAGAGCGGCCCGCTCCTCCTGCAGAGCGGACGCCTTGGCTTTAAGCTCTGTTGCGGCCCTCTGCAGGTCCTTCCTGGTGCCCTCCTCCTCAGCCAGCTGCTGAGAGAGCTGCGCGTGAGCCGCGGTCATCTGCTTAAGGGCTGCCTGGAGGTCAGCCTGCGCGTCCTGATCCCTCTGGCTGCGACGGGCGTGGGCCGCGGCTCGTTCCTCTAACTTCTGGTTCTCCTCTCGTAGCGCGGCTTGGGCGGCGGCCTGACGCTGAGTCTCCTGCTCCAGGGTGGCCGAGGCCTCCTTCACCTGAGGTCAAGGGTCTTGTTAGGATTGCATCAGCTCTATTCAATGACTCCGAAAGCTGCTATGTGTTTGTTAACGCCCATATTCTGATGAGGACCAGCTGACGGTACGACTAGACTTGACCCAGTCTAAGGCTGATGAATGTTTTTGTTGCCAGAAAAAAAATCTAATCAGGATATTCGACCACACAGACACACCTCCCACATCTCCTGCTGCAGTGACAGCAGGCGCTGCTGAGTCTCCGACAGCTCCACGTCCTTGCGGTGCAGCTCCTCTTCGCGCTGGGCCAGACGGCCGAGGATATCGGCGAGCTCCCTGCGGGCCGCCTCGGTCTGCTGGCTCAGCGCCTTCAGCTGGGCCTGAGAGGCTTCCCGTTCCCTGGCTGCCTGGGGGGAGAGGAAGAAGGGGATGGAATGACAAATGAGGAGGAGGAGAAAGACAGCGCACGCGGAGGAGCTCGAACAATGATGATGAGAGGAGGGGAAAAGAGTGACGGGGAGAAACACATGCAGCAGCAGCTCTTGGCTGATAGGAAAACGCTAACACTCCGCTTCCTGATAAGGCACAATGGACAGGTCTGTTTAAGGCAGATTGCTTTTAATGCTCTGGCTCTGACTGGAATGTGCAAAGACTTTGCCACAGCTCAGAACCTAATCATTTAATTGAGCACTTGATTCTCTTCCCTTGTTCATTAAGAGGGCAGAAATGATTTTGTAATGAATTCGCATCGCAGGGAGTACAGCAGGTGAGAATCTGTCTGTGTGTGTTAAAACCCTCTGTTCATACGGGACACAAGACGCAGTAAGGTTACCTTTAAACAACTGTCAAATATTCATTATCTAACTTAACTGGACTGCGACAGGACACAGCTGTATCGGTCTGTTTGGATATGGCAGAAAGTGAGATGTGGGTACAAAAAAAAGTGATCCTGAGCTACTTCAGTTGCCTTTGCCTTCAACCGAGCTCCAAAGATCAAAATGTTCCATGGTGATGAGTACCGTCTTGTCAGCGTGGGGCTGGAAAACTAACCACAGATGAAAAAGCAAGTATCTAGTGGCTTTGCGGACCCTAAGCCTCTTTGGATTCTCCTCCTCAGTTTTATTACCTTGGACATTTTTCAAGAGCAGACTTTTATCCTACCAACCTGCGCGGCCTTGTCGGTGTGAAGCTGGCCGGAGGTTCTCTCGTCCTCCAGCTCCTTCTCCAGCCTCCTGCACTTGGCCCTCCACTGGCGCACAGCCTCCTGGGCTCTCGTCTTCAGCTCATCTTTGCTCCTCGTGCTCTCCTGGAGCAGCGCCTCCATCTCTCTCCTCTCCATCTGCCCTCGGCTCTGAGAGGATGACAACATTTGTGAACAAAGTCCGTTACAATTCTTTGTAATGTGCAATAACTTTTTTGTTGTAGATTCATCTTAGTTTTCTTTTTGTCTTTTTCCAAGCGCACAGTGATGAAACATTTTGCATTTTCAGCTAAGATGTCTTTGGGAGTCATCCGGTTAGGTCTGTCAGACTGTGATATCATATTTTGTGCATGAAAAATAAAGATGGGGGGGTACAATATTTCATTTTGGGAGGCCAATGACAGCAAAGATGTCCAAAAATAGCATTTAAAACTGGTTCCTGCCAAGTTGTTTGTTATTTTTAGGCACAACACTGGCTCATCCAGTGAGCTCTCTGTCTCTTTTGTGCTTGAATGATTGATATTCCAAGAAATATACGAAAAACAGTCAATGGTCAGAGAAAAACTTTCAATAAAAGTCAGGTTACTAGAAAGGAATTTATAAAGAAATAAGGAGGGGCTCAAGACAAATGCCCAGTTCTCCACACTTAAATTACTTGTATCTCTTTCAGCTGGTCCAGCATTCTGAGCTGCTGCTGCTCCCGCCCTGCGAGGTCTGATGACAATTCCTGGCATGTAGAGAAAAGAAAAGGTCAACGTTTGCATATGTGCAAACATCTGCTGGTTGTATAGGAAGAAGAAACGAAAAGAAGGGGAACACACATACAGAGGATAATGGGTTTAGGGGCCATGAGACAAAAGAAGAAAAAGGTGTTGCCAAGGTGAAAAAGAAAAAATGGGAGATGGATTTCAAGAGAATGTGAATCCAGAAGTAGAAAGAGAAAACAAGGTGGGTTAAAGAAAGCAAAGACATTTAAAAGAAGGGGATGTTTTTTTGTTTTTGTTAAACTGAACCGTCCGTAAATCTGCACTGAATCAAAACCTGTAAGTGGAGTTGCTCAAGGTTCCCTTAATGGGCCAAAAAAATGAAGAGAGGGCGAGTAAGGTTAACCTTAAACACCCTTTATATTGACAAAAACTGTGAGTTAGGAATAAGGCTGTTAGTTAAGGGTAATTACTCAGCCACTGATTAGTCTTAGACAAATTAAAGCTGCATATAAATTCTGCCACCTTGTTCCCTTCATTATACCTTCTTTTGCTTATTTAACACTAAAAGAAAGCACTTCTGGTGTGTATTTGATCGAAACATACAAAACCCATAAAGATGCCCCCAGGTAATGCATGCGAACACCCACTTCATCTCTTAACACCTACTCTGCAGCAGGGGATGTGTGGGTGTTTAAACACATTTGCAGCTATGGAGACATCAGGGATTATAGGATTGTTCCTACAGCTTCGAATGAAGCCGTTTTCCACTTTTAATTGACACTAGCTAAAATCAGGAACACCAAAGCAGTGATGGGAATGCTTTCTGTTAATGAAGCGATAAATGGAAGTTGGTTCACATCTGATCTCCTTTTTCGAACTGTGGCTCCATCTGAGGAGGATGAGGTAGGGAGAACTGGAGGAGAGTACGACTTTGGACGACAGGCACCCAGGCCTGCCAAAATAACCCTGCTCAGGGCTTTTTATTATTATTTTTTTTCACCCGACCTTTCCATTAAAACACTGATACGCACCTTCACCTGTAAGCTGAGCTGGAGAACCTCCTTGTCCTTACTCTCCAGAGCCCTCTTCAGCTCCTCGACCTCACTGAGGACCGTAGCCCTGTGAAGCTGAGCTCGCAGCTCCGCCACCTCTTTCTCCAGCTCTGAGCGATCTGTATAGACGCAAGCGGGCACACCAGGTGACAGACTTAGAATGACCAGAGGGGAAGATGAGAGAAGTGGAACGAGAAAGTAGAGCACGGGCAGGATGGGTGCCTCTCACACTGCTGGTTTAGTTGTGCTTCCTGAAGTTTCTAAAAGTAGAAACCATGCTCTTTGACAAAGCTTAGTGTAGGGGTGGCTCATAGAATAAAATAGAAACAACCTTTAACAGCCAAACAGGGAAACTCAGGATGCTGCTATAGGCCTGGAGTGCTGAGCTCCCATGCTGCACCTCTTCTCCCTCTACCCTCATTACGCTCTGTGTTAATATGACATTCCAGTTGATATTACATTGTATCTCCCTTCTCAGCTGGTGTCCCAGTCCTAGTGTCACAGTTGTATCATTGTGCGTTCTTTCCTGCCCTATCAAGCCCCACCTGCTCAAGGGCAGACGGCCGTCCCCTCCGTCTGGTTTTGATGGAGATTCCATTTAGCGTTTCAACTGCATCCACTCCGTTTCCTGCCTTCAATACCCCTGCCGCTCACCTCTTCCCACCTCCCGATCAGGGCGGTTCCCATGCAGCTGAGCGCTGGGGTGTAACGTCTCCAGCTGTGCCCTCTGAGGCCCCGTCCTCTCCGTCCTCGCCCTCAGCAGCTCGCTGCGCATATCCTCCACCTGGGGAACGTCAGTGCAAGCAAACAGACAAGACATCTGTTTGACAGGGGGTCAAATAAACAGAGGTCAATTTCCATCCGAGCGTGTAACGGTCGGAGAACCAGAAACAAACCTGCTGAACAAGGGAGTCCCTGCTGTCCTCTGTCTGCTGCAGCAGTCTCCTGGCTCTGTCCAGCTCGTTCTCCATCTGAGGGCAGAGGAACAGCCCCGGTCAGGACAATGTTGTCCTCAGTGGCACAAGTTTTTAGCAGTGATGTCCCCTCATTCTCGGAATCTTTTGATATTATCTCATGTAATTGGTTATGCCGATGATGGAATAAGTTAACTAAACACTGGGAGGAATTATTCTGAAACTGCTCTACAAACTGCCGACTCGCTAAGAGACTCTGCCTCTCAAAGGTGCCCTTTTCAAACCCAATCCTGTCACAGCACATGATTTAACAGCTTATTTTTCCACCCTTCTGTTTTCCTGCCAACCATCCAGCCCAATGGCACCACAAGCTCCTTTTAGGAGAGAAGGTTTCACCTTGGATTTCTCCCTCTCCGCTCTCAGCAGCCGTGCAGTCATGGCGTCCTCTCTCTCATCAGCTGGAACTTGGCGCCTCCCAAAAGGCTGTGAGACATAAAGAAACAGTCACGTGCTGACCACAACGTCATTATAGTGGTGAAAGAATGCGTCATGGGGATCCCCCCCAAATCTCCTCCTCTTGGAAGAAGATACTGGCATCATGGTGGATTTGTACATCTTAGATCCCACTCATCCAACTGTGGTGATGAATTACTGACTGCTCGCAACATCTACCCAAGTGACTCATCGTCTGTTCGATTCAGAACTCAGCGGGCCCATCGGTGGGGAATAAATGTGCCCTCTGCTCTCCCTCCTCGCCTGCTCCTTAATAGAAAAAGGGATTATTTTGCTCTTGGTTGTTTATTTACCCTTAATTTTGGGATAAATGCATTATCTCCCACCACCCTGGGGCCCCGTCGGTGTCCCATTAGGGCACTATGGGGGGAGAGGGATGCCGCGGTAGGAGCTGGCTACTATCATTACCCAGCATGTTTAGGAATTATTAGCCTGCGTGCAGCTGCACAGCACCCCTCTGTGGCTCACCAGCAAAATGCAGAAGTAATGTTTCAAGCCATCAAGTTACTTTTCGTAATCACTCCTCATTCAACATCTGGAGGAAAAGAGGCTTGAATTTGATGCCTGGTTCATAGAGCAAAATAAGACATGCAGAATCAAAACATCTCTGGCATAAATTTGTTCATCTTTGCTGCTCTTTCTGCTACTGTACTAATGCAAGATTATCAAGAGGGGAAAACATTTAAAATTCTCTTAAATGTTCAGATGTCTTTTTAATAGAGCTGAATCTGAAAAAACACAAATGATAGCAGACAGAGAGAGCCCATTTCTGCACAGGCTTCCATTTGGTGCTCTTTACTCTGTCTCAATGTCAAACTCAAGCACTTTCGAAGAATCTTCTAAAATGTTTCAGCCCCATTCACCAAATTGTTCAGATTAAGAACACGAATTAAAGAAAAACTTTCCACCAACCGGTGAGCACACTCAGCATCCTTTCTGACCAGACTTAGAGCAATCCTTTTCATTTCAGTAAGTTCTTCATTAAGAATATGAAAGAAGTGAGAACGATAGTCTTTAAGGGTCATTAAAGGTGGAGTTCTTTCTGAATAAAAATATATAAATGTGCTGGAATATGACAATATGCTTGAATTCCAATGCTTGAATGGGAATAAAACACATTGGATTATTAATTATAACTGAACAGAGCTGCTAATAACCTAATTGGGGGGGAAATGCCGTTTATCTCACTGAAGAGGCAAAGATGCCATCTGCCACGCTGCTGACTCCCCTCTGTCGCTGTGCGCCGAGATGCTCGAGGCAAAACCTCCAGGATCTCTCCTCTAACAAAGGCAGCCCAATTTATCGTTTCAAGTGACGCTTTCAGTTAAGCACTTTTTGAAATCTTCAAACGCATTAAAAGGATTGCCAGTTCCTCTGACAAACCAATCCCTGTTTGAGGGGGGAAAAAAGAGACCCCAAATCTGCATCCAACCAAATGCTTACAGTTTAAGGAAAACCCATTTATTTGTGACATAAAAGCAGGAGAAAGGCTTTTTTTGTTTTATGTGACTGTACTGTATCATATTTGTGGTTTCTCCAGAATCCACAAAAATTCATTCGCTGTCCTTCTGGAATCTGATTATCCTTCTGAATTCATCTCTGCATGTCAGATTTGGCAGCTGGCATTCTCTAAAAATCATTGAAGAGTGACCAATCAGCATTTAGCGCTGCAGTTAAACCTTTATCGTGAGCAGGAAAGTGCTGCTGACATTCGCTTATCAGCAGTGGGCCTCAGTATGTGGGGAATGGCTAAACTCAACCGGGATGTTATCATGTAAACAAAGCCCAAATCACCGCACAGATTCACCAGATCTGAAGCTTCTGAGGGGTCGGAATCATAGAGCCAGGTGTTTGCATGACAAAAAAATAAAATAAAGTATCCAGCTGGCTTCTCAAAACCAGACTTTTACGATTCACATTCATATTAGATATGATATGCTGCTAATGTTTTGTAAAAACATTAGCAGCCCATTAAGACTATGGTGCAACTGTGTTGCGTTATGTCGACACTACTTTTCACTGGGTTTTACAAAAGAAAAATATCACTTTTAAGGTGCAGAGCATCTGAGTCCAGCAGAAGAGATGCTTCCATTTTAAAAAGTTTGGACTGACGCTCACGCTTTCACGCCTTGCTCCTGAGCCTCTAGCTGTCTTTATGACAGCTAGAGGCTCCTGTCTGAAGTTTTCTCTGGATGGAAAAAAAAAAAAAAAAAGAAGTGTGCTTTGCAGCACCGGCAGATGAGAGGAAAGAAGGAGAGAACGAACTGGAAAAAAAAATTCACCTCCTGCGGCTCATCAGACACGACTCCCTGCTGCTCCGGCCGCCTCTCTCTCTCTCTGCCCCTTGGCTCGCTGTGCATCTCTCTCTCCAGCTCCTGCAGACGCCTCCCCACACGGGACGACACCTGCACACATGTGGGGCACAAGCACGCCTCAGCTCACGCAAATGTCATGGGGATGTGATTAATGAGTCGGCAGGAAATTGAGTTTAAAACGAAGAGACAAAAAATATTAAACAAAATCTCTCTGATATAAGACCGGAAGTTATTCGCTCCTGGTCTAATCTGGAGGCAACGCATCCACCTGTAAAGGACAGTTAATAACTTTATCTTGTAACGCCCACGGACGGGACAAGATAAAATATATTAAACATATTGACTGTCAAACAGCACGCGTACCAGTGCTGTAAAGCTTTGTGCTTGGCAATCAGAGGGGGAAATTATCAGCAATTAGGCCTGTAAAGCACTAAAAGACTAAAACGTCTTAATTTTCATACTTCACAGCAGCTTTAGTCTGCTGAAGTTTGCCCTCTGATGTCCTTCAATCCACAAAAAAGCCTGTGGCTTTTTCTCATTCCCGCATCCTGTCCCGCATTCACAGACTTAAGCGAGTAAACTTGAAGTATTGGCCTGGAAATCTGTGACCACAACTCACTGAGTCCTGTCTTTGGGTGGCTGTCATGTGGTCCGTGAGGCTTTCCATCGCCCGCCTGGTATCAATATCAGACCTGTGAAGACACAACAGACAAATCCAACATTCACAGCAGCAGTGGAGCCATCAGCCGTCCAAGAGATTCTTTTTCCAAGGCATCATCGATCAGAACATGAGCGCATAATCTGAATAATTACCCCGCCTCAGACGCTGAAATATGGCTGCGGGTCGATCGGTTTCGGTCAGCTGCACTTGAGAAGGGAGAGATTTTTTTTTTTTAATAGCTTCAAAATGTCAAACTCTGATCCATGCTGAGAGGAATATCTGCAGTCTTCTGACTTGAAGGCACCATTTCTCAAAGTTTTTTCTTTCTTTTTTTTTTTTTACAGCAAGCATCAGAGATTTAAAGACGTGAAAGCCATGCACTTATTGACTGAGCTTAAGCAAAGCCTAAAGAACAGTGGATATGAAAAGTAAGGGCTCAGTGTTCTAGACCGGTCGGCATCAAGCCCAGAATCTAGTTTGTGAAATCAATACGCAGATGAGCAAAGAGGAAATTAATGTGTGACACCCACCTCCTGCTTTGCACTGCATATACCTCATTAGGAAAGCTTTAGAAAAACATCCATACTTTGCTTCTGAATTCCACCAAACACTCAGTTGGTGCTTAACTTAAATAGATAAGTAAAGGGTCCCTTCCTGCCTCAAATCCTGATTAATCTGCTGCATCAGTTTTTGACGAAGACAATGAAAAATGTCTCTGTGTACTTAAATGACAGGTTGGTTCAGCTCCAAGAACGCCGTCTACCTCTGCCATCAGATACCTATTTCTCCGAAGGATCTCCCTGTCCAGGTCATCAGACAGCCTCTGCTGGTCGCAGCGCAGGTCCCGCAGCGACTGGTGCAACACATGAATCTGTGAGTGAAAGCCACAAAGCCATGCTTACTGAACACAAGCTGGCAGAGCCAGACCCAGAGGTTTAACGCCACCAACCCAAAAAACTCATTTTTGCTGCAGAGCTAAACGCTGCATTCGTGCTGCTTACTCAGTGTGCCCTCCAGTGGCAGCTTTGTGACACTACAACTCAGTGCAGAAGTCTTGAGCCACTCATATTTTCTCTAATCTAATGGCTAATCTAACTAAATCTACACATTAAAATTGCATGTGAAGTAATTTTGATATGTATAAAAATTTATGAAAATACAGTAAATGTAGGATATGAAAAACTGCTTTCGGAATTTGATTAGGACTGAAAGTCACAGTATTTGGTATTAGCTCCTTTGTAATGCTTTATAATCCTTTATCAGACTTCAACAACAGTTTTCCAGGCTTCTTGAAGGACATTCCAAAGCTTTGCAAAGATAATACCTCACTGCCTAAACAATATGGAGGCTGTTCATCTGCTGTATTAAGTATTTCAGACCATCCACTTCTATTTTCAGCTTTCCTCTTTTTTTTTTTTTTTTTAAAAAGGACAAGTTTTGGGCTAATAGTGGTTTGGGAATCATGCAAAAAATAGCTCAGTCAATTCTTTGTAGCTGCAATTTAAAAAAAACAAAGGATATCTACTTAGAAATGGCCTGAGGACATCATTTAAAGCTAGTTCTTTGTTAAGTTGCCTTGTATGTGCTGGTAGAGCACCGCTTATTAAATTGAGAGAACAGAGGCTTTAAATATTTATAAATCAGTGTTTCGTGCCTTCACAAAGAATAACAATAATATAAAGATTAAAAAAATATAAAGGAAAGAATGGTGGCTAAAGATGTATTCCCAGAGCCGCCCTCGAAGAAACAAGCCATTGATTATCAATTTGGGTGGTTAGTCCTTACATCCTCTCCGGCCAGGTCATGGTCTCTGAAGCGAACGTTGGCAGAGAGAGACCTCCTCCTCCTTCGTGGTGTACTCGTGTAGTCCTTTAGCGGAGAGGTAGGAATGAAGCGCTTGCCCTCTAAAATCCCAAAGGTGTTGTTTTTAGAAAACGTTAGTGTTTGTGACATAAAAAAAAACTAAGCAAAAGACTCTAGAAAAATCTTCCAGGTGGAAATATTTCACATTTTATCATAAAAACAAGAAGACAGTTAAATACTAGTCTTTCTATCTTGAAAAAAGCATGTATGTATTTGTTTTGACCTAATTCTGAGCCATCTTCCAGGTCACTTGTGTGCAGCGTTGAGGCAGACGCACTGCGGACCCCATTGGTTCTGCTCAGCCTCTGTGTTTGCAGCTGACTGATCGACTCCTCCAAATTCTCCCGAAGCTGAAATTAAACAAAAGCAATCAAGAAAAGCGCACCAAGATGACGATGATTTAAAAGTTGCAGGAATAAACAAAAAAATCACAAATGTAGCTGAAAAAAAGGCAGCACATACTGTTTATCCTGAATTAAGTCAGACAGAAGTGCCATAATGTGAAGCTGAGCATCGAAAACCGAGATAAAATGTGAGATAAAATTCTGTGAGATGATCTAAAAAAAAAACACTTCACAAATAGAAGTTTCATTGTGCAAGAGAAAAAAATCGTATGCATGAAAGATTTAGGAAAACAGGCGTCTCACCAGTGCCATGGCCTCAGCCTGATCATCGGTGTGATCCCTGTACTGACCCAGCATCTTGTCCACTTTGGTCAGGTTCCTACTGGTGTCCTGACACAGAGACTTTTAGTTAGAAACATGTTTGTATCAACCCGGGTCACATATGCAGACTTTAAAAAAAGATACACTGATTATAGTGCATTATATGATTCCTATATACTTATTTGGGGATATGAGAATAGATTCCAGACACACACATAGATAGATAGATAGATAGATAGATAGATAGATAGATAGATAGATAGATAGATAGATAGATAGAATACCTTAATTTAGTTTGATTTGATGTTGAATTAGATTTTTTGTCCTTTGGAAGGAAAGTTATTTGTTTCCCCATTTTAAATGGCACTTTTTAGGGGGTGGGAGGAAGGTATGACGATATATATAACATTACATTTATATATTCCAATGACTCAAAAAAGTTAAAACATTTAAATGCCAAGTTTCCATTATGGCATATTTCCAAAGATCCCAAGAGTTCCCCATGGACGGTTTTCAACATTTTCAACCCCTTTGCAACTCTGGTTCAAAAAGGGAGAACAGCTGATTCACATCAGCCATTAGCGGGTCAGTCCAAAGCTGTACAGTATTATGAATATATCCATTTAATCAGCATCAGGTGTGTTGTAGCAAGGAAACCTCTAAAAACCTGCCCCGAGGAACCGGAGTTTGAGAACCCCGGTATAAGGTCACAGGAGTCTACAGTCTCTTATTTCTAGGGGGGGGGGCGTCAAAACATGGAGTGATGCTCAGTGAAAGCAAGTGCATGAAATCCAAGTTGAGTACCTGTAATGTGTCTGCCAGGGTGCTGATTTTCTCTGAAATTTCGGCGGCTCGGCCATCGCTTCCATTTCCTCCATTCCTGACCCTGTCCCGGGAAGGTCTCCGGTGGGATTCACGCCCCCGAGGCCTGTGTCCCCGTGTCCTGTCGTATGAATCCGAACCGCTCGATGTGTCCATGCCTCAAAGCCAGTCACGGCAAGCCCACGCGAATCTGACCATTAGCGAATTAGCTTCGTTGGGGAACGCGAACATGAACGTTAATCAGATTACCGAACAAAGTGGGGTGGCTGATTAACTTTTTCCCGTTTTATATATAAATATGACAATGCAAAAGCGCGTAGAAGCCTTGTCATCGATATTTTAACAACCAATGGAGTCCGAAAACCATTCAAGTAACGGAAAACAACCTTTCAAGCCGTCATTATCCCAATAAATCTCTGCCCAAGACATCATTGTTAGTGTCGCACCCTCTGGTTAGCAACAAGTGGAAAAGACGCTGAACGTTAGCTAGCTAGCTAAGCAAATGTTCGCAAACGTAGTTTTAGCGTACGATAATATTTCAAAACGTACAAAGCAGGAGCTGGGGGAATATCAAACTGTTCCTAATACGTTACATGAGAAACGCTCCTGCCAGACCGCGAGAGTGATAGCTAACACACACACGGCGCTCTGCTTTCCTGTGCTATGGCAACTTGAACTAGCCGCGTCTGAGCAGGGAAAACAACGGTCCAACACGGCTCCAAGGGACGCCGGGAAGTGTAGGCCGTTCACAATGGAGCGGCGTAGGAATTAGATATGCGTGAACTACATTGTCCAATAGAATGCCTTTGCGCCACTACTGCCGCTCTCCAGAGAAGAAAACATTGAAAAAAAAGAAAAGTTTAAACACTTTAAACATGTTCTTTTGGAGAAAAATGGGGAACGAGTTTGTGTTCCACGGCTGTTAAATCTCTATAAACAAATGTAGATGAAAAATGAAGACACTTTTTATGAGAAAACATCGTAATTGAAGCACGGACAGGTGTCCGTGCTTCAATTACGATGCTGCACACTGTCTACAAAAAGTGTCATGGTGTTTAGATCCTTAATTAATATCGCTGTTTTATCTCAATGCAATGGAATCAGGGACACGGTGCCCCACTTCTATCAAATCTTCCATTCAGAATTCTTCAGAAAATAAATCAGAAACGGATAGCAGAAAGCTGCCTTGTTTAAAGATGGAATCTAAATGTCTATGATAACCTGTCCAAATCCATTTGTGACTTGTTGCTCGCCACCTGTATGAAAGCATTCGTCTTCCCCCATAAACTGTGATTAAAGTATAGCTTATTTTACCAAAAAGGAGGAGGAGGAGGATGCCTAAGAAGTCCACCCTCCCCTCGAGTTGAAGACCACCTCCAAACCCAACACGGAGCTGCCGCATCCCCAACTTCACAGCCTCACAGACACCCTCTGGGCCCCTGGAAGGAACACCGAGTCCAAACACTGCTCCGTCTTTTACCTAAGCACCATTTTCTGCTGAAATATCAGCCGCCGAAGTCGTCGGAGGTGTTGGGGGGGAGACCAGGACAGCACGGCAGAGCTCCATCATGCAGGTGATCGCGTGCGCGCTCTTGACGCTCGCGACCGCGGGCCGCGCGGCTCCGGAGGCGGCCTCGTGCCCGCCCGCGTGCGAGTGCTCCGAGTGGAGGAGCCGCACCATCTCCTGCTTTGACATCGATATCCTCCCGGGGTTTCCAGCGAGCACCGAGACGCTGTGAGTAGGCGTTCGAAACGCAGCTGCGAAAGTGATTCCGCAGTCTTTTAGCAGTTTAGGGTTTTTTTTTTTTCGTTTTTTTTTTCAAATTTTGAAATTATCTTTGACCCCGAGGAAAAACCATTAGCCCGCGCTATAATAACACGAATATTCCTCACCGAATAAGTGCACCCGTGGGGAATTTGCAGGCCATCTGTTGCTAAGTGGTTTTTCCATTTCCAAGTATCAGTTTAGTCTGTTATTCCAAACTGTGTTACGATTTTTGCAGCACCTTGTTGCAGACCATGCATAGATGTATATTTTTTCTTAATACTTAAATTGCAAGGTTAACGTTTGAGCTGCGTTGGCTGAATCTTAGTCAGGTGTATTTCTGGAAGGATTTCTGGAACCATTAACTCAGCTTCATATCCTGAAAAATAAAATAAAAAGCACCATACCACTGAGACAAATAATTGCAATATGTATGAACATCATTTAGTTTCAATTTAGATTTTAGTTTTTTTATTTTAGCTGAAACATCACATTTTTATTGACCAGCAACCATATATCTATTCAGGAGAAATGTCATGGAAAAATCAACTGCTTTTTGCTTCTAAATATAGTGATAAAAATACTAGGTCAGTCCTGCATCTATTGGTGATAGGCTCAGTTTTTTTTTTTCACAGATGCAAACAGTTAAACAGCTTCAGCCGTGTTGTCATTGACATGAGACATCCAACTACAGTGAAATATCTCTGTACCACGTTTCACTCCCTCTGTAAAAACAACATTTTCCGCAACAGCGACCCTGGTAATAGGGCTGCAAGACACCATTGATTTCTACATCAACTTTCCGGGGACTGTCTCTTCTTAAAGAACACTTATGTGTAAAACCAAGGAAAATGTCCATAACTTTTTCAGACAACCTGAAGGGGACATATTCAAATTTCTCTTTGTCTGTTACAAACAGAGCAAACCTCCCTTTTTGTGTACTTTTAGAGATATACAAGAAGCAGATTAACCTTCTAGATGCGATTGAAAATTAAAATGAAAAAGGTAAAGGAGTGAAAAGAAGTCTAGAAAAAGAAAAGAAAACAATGATCTGAACCCCAAAATATTTGTTCTAAAAACTGCATGCCAAAGTGATGTCATCTGTCAGGACCCCCTGCAAAATATAGCGAGATATTTGCACCCTCTAATCTAATTTACTACAAGTAAGTTATGCAACAGAGGCAGCAGTTATCCGTGATCCTGATGGGAACACATGGCGATTAGATGGGCTCATTAGAATTAAAGCACGAAACTGGAAGCTTTAGTGAAGATACTTTCTTCTGAATAAGCACATGCACTGGTTAAGGCACAGGCAGGCTTTTACCATGATGCCATGATCCTGTAGCAGGTTTAAGCAGTCAGAATGTATTGGGTTTTGGGTCTTCGAAGCACCTGATTAAATGAGATATGATTTATGACTTAAACTGACTTGCATTTGTTGCTTTAAAACTGTATATGCCTCTTAGCATTGATTGCCTTTTGAGATGTGCAAGCCACCAATTCTAGAAATGCTAATTTAGTAAAGATAACGGTTTTCATGACATCCATGATTTAACAAAAAGTTCAAATGGATTGCTTGACAGTTTAAAGATTTTTTTTTTCTGATGGATAACGAGCCTTGGCCCATACCTCTCCAAAGTGCTCTTTAGTACTTTCTTCCAGAAAAATACATTGACAAGAAGGGAGCCAACTTCACATTTGAGAGACTCTGCCACTGTCAGGTGCTCTCTTAATATTGATTTTGTTGGCCTGATGATAATAAACCTAATTTGCTTGAGGATGTTCCTCCAGCAGATTTGCCTTGGTACAAATTTCTTATTTGCTACGTCCACCCTCTCACGTCTTGCAAAAATGTAACCTTTAATACTAAAACGTCTTACTTTGATACTAGTAATAGTAATATAATCATATTAGTAGTAATGAAAGTGTTAGAAATGAAGTTGTGAGATGTTATACATATTTTTTCTCTTTTTATTTTAATATTAACTTTGTATTTAGGGACACTTTCCAGCTTTACACCATCCTCTGATATATGGGTTGCAATGCATAACTACACAATGCATTACCATTGTATAGTTTATGGCTTAATATCCTATAAGCATACAACTTGCTTACTTGGATGAACTTCTCCTCTACTCTAAGCCTGGATGGTCGTTTCACCAATAATAACTCAAGCTAAAGTCAAGGTTTTGTGCCGTGTTGTGATAATCCTCATTCCTGCCATACACTTTATTGGAACATCTCTTCACCCTTGAATTCCAAACAACACTTTGCATGGCCTCCAACAGCAGCCATCACATAAAATTATCTCTCGGTCACTGCTTCAATTCACATGCTCACGTTCCTGGAGTGTTCCCTGCAATTTCCTCACATTCCTGCTCAAAGTTTACCCAGCACCCTTCAGGAGGATAAAAGACCTTGCACTGTCAAACCTTCCCGATTAAAAATATCGGTCTAATAGGCCAGAAATAGAACAGGATGTTCCAGCACATGAGGCGTAAGGAAGTTTGATGTTATTGTATTCCTGCTGGGGAATGATTGACCCCATTGGCTTGATGATCTCAGTAGGGACTGAGACTTTTGCCAGGTCCAGCTGTAAGTTCAGTTGTGCTACTGGCTTTTCATCTTGTGGCTTCTTACTTCTGTTAAAGCCGTTTCACCTGCTGAGATGTGATTCTGTCTTTTAAATGCCTTCTAAATACCGTCTTCAGCGCAATGTCGACCGAAACCCCTCTTTTATTTATATTTTGCTTCCAAGGAGCCGGACTGGGTTTTGATCTTTTGAAGTGGTCTTGAGCTAAATTTTTCCAGGCTTTCTGAAGGGTAAAGTTTTTCTTTGGACGTTGGCTGCATTTTTACTAACTTTCTGTCCAGTTCTTGCACTTAACAGTCCTCCAAAGACTTTGCAATTGTTTTATTTTTTTCTTTAAGCAGTTCAACTTAAATCTATAATTAATTCAGATGTAAAGAAACTCAAGGGAATGAATCAGTCTCGTGTATATAACAGAACAACAAAACAAATTTTAAGGATACAAAGAAACCATTTTGAATAATGGAGGTTATTTATTAGAAGCAGTCTTTCACAAATAATTTGTTTCCATTTTTTACGCATGGAAATTGTCAAAAATAAGACAGGTTGACAGAGAGATATTGGCCAAACACACTGGTACATGTCAACATTGTGAGAATGGTAACCTATAAGATTTGAATAAAGCAGACAAAATCAAGAACAAAAAAATAAATACCTTGAAAATGTGGAAAATTGGCTTTTTTATTGAGCCGTCATCAGAAGTGGTCGACATGAAAGGATGGTTGTCATATGGAGGGATGCATCATCCGCAGAACCTGGACTTCAACATTATGGAGCATTGTGAGATCATCCTGAGGGAGAATTATGGAAAGAGGTTACCAATATGCCAAAAAAAGCTTCAGAATGTAATAAAAAAAAACCTGGACAGCTATTCCTAAAGACCACGGAAAATTAAAGAAGTATTTCTGAGAAGGTTCATGAATAAAGATGGTCATATCAAAACACAGCCAAGATAGAATTGTACAAAGTCTCCTATTATGCACTGTGTCCATTTATGTTTGTATTTATTTTTTATTTATTTATTCATTTATTTAATCAGGACAGTGCACATTAATGAACAATCTCATACAGATTGTAAATGAGCCAGATTATAGCATAGTTGCTAGTTTAGATCTGTCGTCCTGAGGCAGGAAGATCAAACAACACAAAATCACATTTGTATATCTTTTGATGAAATTCTACCCTATATCTCATTTATCAGTTATGATAAATGAAATAATAATAATAATAATAATAATAATAATAATAAAAAGCAAAATTCACAGGGGTGGTTCAATATTTGTGTACAGCGCTCTACAGCTAACAACCAGTTAGCTTAGCATAGCATTGTAGATGATGACCAGAAGGGTTTGTGTAACTTTTGACATATTCAGTGTCAAGCTATTTAAACGTAATTTAAAGGATATGGCTGTGGGTATATGTTGCCTTTGGCGTGAGACTGTACCTGCGTTTGATTTATTTACACTAGGCTAGTTATTTAGCTTTACGTTTGAGAAAAGCAGAGTTATGCTAATTTTGTCTCACTGTTTGAAAAAAAAAAAAACATTGTTAAAGTGACTTTTTATTTTACTGTTCACTTTACCAAAAACTGTGGAGGTCTAGAAATAAAATTTGCACTTCTGAGATGCTCTGCTCAAATTGTCCTATTAACACAAGTTTAGTTTTAAAATTTGTGCAGGCTGATATGCAAAAGCTCTTTTCGCAAGCCAAAATGTGAATGCAAAACAGACGTGTGTGTGTTTCTCCATGTGACTGTGCACTTGGGGATGGTTTGAAGTACTTTTTGTGTGTGCGCAGAGGTCTCTCCATGTGTCACTGGGAGTCAGAGAGGTGGAAAGGAAAGCGTAGACACGCTAAAATGCCTGTGTAGCGTGACACCCTCCCACGTCTGGACGATGCATTCAAATACAATATTTACGTTTTACAGCGCAAGTCTCAAACACCCAGAGAGTTCCATTTGAGAATAATTAAGAAGAAAAAAAGACTTCAAGGGAAACGGGGCGGGAAAACACAGCAGTTCCAGTCCTTCAGAAACCTCAGAATTCCTGGATTGGAGTTTAAACATGTGATAACTCATAATATTCCTTATTCCTTGACATTTGATGAAACAGACTGCTAATTTTGTTTCCTGGATGGTTAAAGATGAGCACTAATTTAAGGGGAAAAAGTGTCATCTTGAATGTATTTCAGTTGTGGCTTTGATTAATGGAAATATTGACAATTTCACATCCATTACTTTATACCAATAAGTCAGAAACGAAAATTAATGCTATTACACTGTGCTAAATTTTTCATTGGTTTATGTGATTATAATTAGGAATATTTATTCATTTTATCTATATATAAAAAACAGGGAGGTTATTCTTTGTAGAAAATGTAGGTTGAAATCTTTATGGAAGTGTGAAACTGACCTGCTCCACCAGTTGCCATAGTTGCTGACACCAGTATGATTTAAAAAGCCTCTCACTGCCGCAAATTCAATTCCAAACTTCATTTCTTTCTATGGTTTCTATCCACAATGACACATTGAGGTAGCAATTTTCTCCTTAAAAACCTGTAAGATGGGTTCATCTGCCCTCTCCCAGCTGTCCTGTGGCAAATGCATGCTGGTTATTTGGGTTCTAGCCGGGGTGTTTGGTATCAGGATCTGCTTTGTATCCGAGTGTTTGTTTGAGTTTGTCAGTGTATGCAGCGTGCCGCGCTCCCGTCTTTACTGACTGCTGAACCGCCCATGCGAGTGTGATTCAGAACTATGGGCCAGATCTCAGCCGCTGAATTAGTCCATTGTTCCCGCGATAAACCAAAGGTACGCGAAGATGGCGTCTTTGGCTTCGCCATTTATTTTTCAAATGGACACATGGTGCAGTATTTCCAGTTGAGGCAGGATACAGTGGAATTAACTCTGTCTGTGTGTCCTTTGAGCCAAGAATACAACACGGCAATCACACATGTGGCTACCATCTTAATCCCTTTCCTCAATTACTTTGTTATGATTCCTAAATCCACCACATCTCCATCACATCTCCAGCAAGATCACACGGAAGAAATAACACGGCTTTAAGGCAAAAATCTTCATGAGGGAAGACATCTTACCTCATTTTGATTTTTAGTATTGCTCTTATAACTACAAGTGAGTCAATAAGATGTAAAACTAAAAATATTCTATCCACCAGAATATTAAACCACTCAGATTATAAACTAATTGAAAGAAAATTACTCTTTAACTGCTGATGGGCTGTGTTTTTTTATTCATGGATGCAGGCATGGTACCTGTTAAAGGCCAAGAGTTTGATCTATCATCTATTTAGACTCAAATTGTGATACTTCGATTTTGACGAATTGGCCATTGCCACCTTTTTTCTTTTTTAAAGGGACTATCAGAAATGACTCATTCACTTGAAGTTTTTTGTTTTCTTTTTGCTAAAGTGAGGCAGTGTTGCAGTAACACTTGGCACAGATTGCTCAGGAATGATGCAGGGGTTTGATTAGAAAATAACTATATCCAGATACACCTTTCTTGGTGTCTTGATATGTGTGACTTAGACAGCTCCCCCCAGTAGGCCTCTACTGCCCAGTTGCACCTCTACCTTTCCATCATTGACATCTAATGAAGACCATGGCGATGTCACTATGGGGAAATGCGTTTCTGGAATGCAATGCTGGGGAATTGAACTTTAGGTACAACTCAAGAGTCCTGCCACAGGGGGAGGGAGGTTATAGCAAACACCTCCTTAACGCCACCAACACAGAGAAGATTTAAGGGGATCCAAAACTCAACGCCAGTCAGTCTGTTGTCTGCTGGGGGAGTGGCACTACAGACAAAAACTAATTTGCCTTGGCAAACAAGTGAAGAAGGCCAGATTTGTGATATTTAGGACAGGGGGGTTAAGGAGGTCCTTTGTAGCCATAGCCATTAAGCTTCTAACTTGTGACTGCTAACATGTTCTGACATTTATGTATTTATTCAATTGTTCTTTTATTTATTTGTGTATTTTCTTCAAATGTTCAATAATCAGAAACATTTTAATTCTAAGATGCAAGACTTTTAGATTTTTAAAAATGAGGTATTTTTCTATTTCTATCATCTATATTTCTGAAGACAAAAGACAATCCCAGCTCTGGCAGGCTGAGGAGATCAATGATGTTTATCTTTCTGTCTTTGGTTCTTTGACCAGGTGGCTCTTCGAAACCCGTCTGCCATCAGTGCCAACGGATGCCTTTGCCAGTATGGTCAACATTTCAAGAATGTGAGTAAAATATTTGCATTGAATCACATACCGCCTGTAAATAAGTTGGTCGTACCAACAGTCACAGTAAAGGACTTCTTGGACTCTTGCAAAGTCCATCTATCCCTCTAGACCAAAAATGTTTGCAGTGCTTTGAAATAAAAGCGTTGTTAGAAGATTAGGATCGGGACTCCATCATGCATTATATGCATTATGTTTAGTAACACTAAATCAAAGCTAACTAGGTGAGAAAGGTTGCAGACGGTGGGAGAGTGATCCCTAGGAGATGATAACGCTGTTTCTTGATTCCATGTGGCACGAAGCATCTGTTTAATCTCTTATTCCTTAAAATATGTTTTCATTCATGCTGTGTTTTATAATATCTTCCCCTCAAAAACAAAACAAGACTTGTTATCACTTTTGCTCTTTGTTAAGTGTGACCACTGGATTCTAATCACAACATAAGTTCTTTGCCCACTGCTCATTGTCCACCTATAGAACATGTCATAATTTCCGTAGGAATGTTTAATCAAAAGGCTAATTTAAGGTGCGGTTGAATTAAAAAAAAATAGTTTGCCATTTTTTTCCTGAGCGGTAAGGAATTCTTACGACTGATTTAAAAAAATAGTGGGAAAAACACGAGCAGACAAATTGATGACTGGACAATGTGTACCGGAGGTTTATGCCAAATAACCCATTGCTTTGGAGACTTAAGAATAAAAGAACAGGCAAATTGAGGAAAGGGACTTTAGGATTGCTTTTTGAACCACACACCTAAAGCAATTTATCAAAAGCAATTTAATATTTTCTGTTACCCACACACAGTCTTTCCATTCTTCAAAAGTCTCCAGAGGAATTAATAAAAGTCCTTTTTTGTGCACCAGAAAGACAGTTGTTCAGCAGGTTTAAGTTTTTCATTTATCCCTTTTAGATATATATCTGTGGATGTGATGCTGCACAGGCTGGAGAAACACTCGTTTTATGGCCTGAGGAAGATCACCCACATGTGAGTAACTAAAGGAAAACGGCACACTCTTTATTGATCTTTATTGATTAAGCTGTTTCATGTTCTCTCTGGAGAGTAAAAATGCTTAATTTTCAAGCATGCCAGCAGCAAATGGAAGCAGGCAGTAAAACATTAGGCGCTCACTTTCCCCCTCAACGCTTAATGTTCCTCATCAAGGTCTCACTGTGCTGTTTTTCTATTTTATGGGGTAGCAGGAATTACTAAAAACTAGGTTGATAAGAAACATTTGAATTCATTTGAAGCAAGTCATTATGGACTGTGTTTTTGCTGAGTTCAGGCTTCTAAGCATGTACGGGAAGAGAAGCTTAACAGCAGCCAGAGTTTAAGCTTTCCTACTCATCTTCTTCATACCTCAGCTCCTATTAAAGCGGCTCAGGGGAAAACATCTAGCAAGGTGCACTTTATTCCTGATGGAGGGATAAAGATTTATGGCTGAGTTCCCGGCTGGGCCACACACTTCCCAGCAAAACGCCTCCAAGCATGTCATATATTCTTCTAAGATTTTCTACCTTTGTGAGTGATATGAGTGCACGTGAAGCAATTTGGGTGTAACCACAAGTAACGGCGACAGAAATTAATTTGACCCGAAAGCATCATTTGGTTTCCATTCTCACTTTAATTATTCCAAACTTTCCCCTTTTAGCTGCTGCATTCCAGATTGTAAAATTACCAGACAGAAGCGATCGTTTAAGTCTCCGGCTTTTGAGGCTGTGCTTAGGGGTGTGGTCTGGATCTCTGAGGCCCATTTACCAGTGATTGGTGCGGTGTAGGGCCATACATCCATGTAAGATAATGGAATCTCGCTCAGGTTTCCTTCGGGTCAGACACAAATTAACGTCCTGCTTCCTGCTGGTTGCTGAAGGCAGACAGCAGATGTGGATCGGGGACGGCAGTTGGGGCTAAGAATTCCAAGGGGCATGTGAGAAGTTTGAATTGTGCCACGACCAACTGAAGCAATCAGCCTCATGGATTCTTTGGTTTCTTAGTCAAATAAAATCTGTAACTTGCTTGTATGTAATGTGTGATTTTTTTCCCTCTTCCATTAGTTAAATCCATGTTATTGCCTTATTCAAGCTTTTAAATTAGATCACCAACGTGTTTTAGGAGGCCATCTTGAAACACTTTATCCTCTCTAAATTCAGCTATTCTCCTTAGATTCAAACCTTCTCAGAAGACTCTTTAAAGTTTTTATTTAGTGCTTTACTTGACAAGCTGTCTGTTAGTTAAAGGCTATTTGTGACAGTCCGCATGGTCTGTGTAACATTTGTTCCCTCATTTGCACCAGCCAACCAGAGTGTCCAATGGCTCTCTGACCATCTATCCAAAAATATGTAACGGGGAGGACCATGCACATAAACCGGATACCATTGTCAGAACCAAGGGAGAAGAAAACCACAGGTCTAGAAGAAGAAGAAAGCTTATACTAAAGAATGCAAGAGAGTTAGCATTTTACAAGCCTCTGTAATGGTTCATTAAAAGATTTGACTGCACTTGCATGGAAAAACTCCAGTGTAATGTTCCCCGTAAGGAACAGGTAAATGGAGAAGCCAGCAGCTACACGCCCCTAGATTTCTCCTCAAGACGGGCCAGTTAGCATGCTAATCAAGAAAGTAGAAGTGGAAACACCACAATGTCTTTGCCAAGCAACGGAATTCACATTCTGCAGGTCATGCAAATGCAGGAAGCACATTTTTTCTTGTTAAGACCAAATCCTGCTCCCGGTGAGCCCAGCTCTGCTGGATGTAGCGCCCTACATTATGAGGGAGCTAAGCTAGCTGGTGGTCCAGTTGGGACTTTGCTCTGTCAGCTCCTGAGCAAACCCAAGTATCTCCTTTACAAGCCTTAAGTTGGTGAAGAGATGGTTTTCTGGTCATGAGAGATTGACATACTTACAAAACCTCAGATCATTGCTTCGGCTATCTTTAAAATTCCTCTTTTGTTCAACATTGTAGGCCCGGAGTTTTCCTTTACCATTTCAGGATCACTGAGCTTGCATTCCAGTTCTTACAGCAACACTAAATAAACGAAATTGGCAACTACCCCGCTAAAAAAATTTGTTGCTTAAAAGCAAGACATGTTTGTTGAGGAAGGAAGTAAAAGGAACTTACCTTGGACTTGAATGATGGAGTGTTTGGGTTCGATATATTGAGGTAGCTAGCACGAAGGTTTACCCGTTTTGTGTGGAACGTTGTATAGCCTACTACCTTATGAATAAACACAACACTGTTAAAATAAGCAGTGGCTCTATTCACTAAACTATTTTAAATAACTGACCCCAGACAACTCTTCAAAATAAATTAAATAAGATTTTACTAAACTGTTGTGTTTTTAGTTTAACACAGAATATTTATGTTTTTAGTTAACGAACAACAATAACAATTACCAAATTTGGCAAAACACTGAAGAAAGTCACACTTATAATTGGAAAAATAGAATTGACCATATCAAAATACTATTAAAAACTTATATTATCTCAGGTCTCTGAAATACCTAGTGCTTAACACTTTAGCAGGATTTCTCTGTACTTATCAGACTCGTATCAAATACACTATTTAACTGAACTATAACAAAACAGTGGCCCCACACACACACTCACACAAAAACAATAAACGCTGCAGGCCTGTGTGCTCCAGGTGCGGTGCGGCACCTTATCCTCAATGTCACTTAGCAGTCCCACAGAAAATCCAACTCACGGTCTGGAATAGGTCCATGAAGAGATGAAGATGGACGTGACCGGCAGCAGAAGTAAAGTCCTCCTCAGGAAGCGCGAAACAGTCCTTCCCGTTCAGCAATGGCGTCCTCTTGACTAGCGGCTCGCTAGCTTTAGCTTAGTTAGCACAGTCACGCTTGCAATACTCAAACGCTGTAACCACTGTGATTAGGCAGGAAATGCACGTTACGTCCCTCAACTACAGCTTCTTACGTTCCTTAAACATTAAACAAGTTATCTACCAGTTATCTACTTTACTCTAGCTCCGCATGTCTCCGTCTCGTCACTCTCTCGTCTCTTCCCTTCTCGCTCGTTTCTCTCCCGCCCCTTTTTCATTTTTACCTATGCCCAATTACCAACATGTGACACTGATTGACATACACAGCAACCAATCAAACGAAACAGCATGAACCAATAACACAAATCCGAATATTCAGTTTGGTTTACCACACACCTTTCTTCAGCTACTATTCCGTTTAATGTAACTACTTAATTAACTATTTAAACTCTACTTTATTTATCATGAATTTATATATATAAATAGAATCAGAACATTTCCTCTTTCATTGTTTTTACTCCTAAATTACTTTCAGTTTATTTGCATTACTACATTATTTCATTAATTGAAATAATTATTTGTATTACAATTTAACTTTAACCCCTGTACTTTTACACCGGGCTACATTTTATTGTTTTGTACTTCCGAGGCCAGGCTATTTCCTCTATGATGATGATGATGATGGTGCTGTTTACCTAGGCATCAGGCACCAGATTCTGTTATTCAGAAAGGCTGCTTTCAAGAGCACAAACCTTTCAACATATCTGGTTAACGCGATCGGCCAAAGTATACATAACTGGAATTTTTAAAAACGGACCACCCTTGAAAATACAAACCTCATAAACAAATAATCCAAGTAGAAATATAGTTTAATCTCCAACACTTTTCTCTGAACTGATTGGAATTATAGAACCACGACAGAGATTCAGCATTTCTGTGTCCGACAGACGTACAGTTCAGTTTTATTTTTTTACCAACATTTGACAGTTCAGTGTAATTATGTTCAACCTTGAGAGACCCGTTTAATCTAACCAGAGTCTACCAGAATAAACGTGTTAATGGCTCACTAATTAGAATGGGCTTCTGGTCTGGACTGTCTGGAGCAGCTTTTTCCGGCATCTTTCACTCACTCTTTTCAGTAGCTGACACCTCTTTGAACTTGTTCTTTCAGAGAGATCCGTAACACAAAAAGTCTGACGTACGTTGACCCAGAAGCCTTTAAACACCTCCCAAACCTCAAGTACTTGTAAGTATTACCAGATCATATTCTTGTCTCTTGAAATGACATCACTTTTAGTGGTGACTTTTAGCTAAATAAAAGGTGAGTCCACATTTTTCTTTGTCTGTCTGATCTAAGAGAAATAAGAATGATATACTATAATACTTGGTTATATAAATTGTGTGAATTCTTTTTTAAATTTAGCTCACAAGTCCAGTGCATCTACATTTTTCTTGTCAACTTTTTTCAAATATCAGAATTTCTACCTAAAAAAAAGTCTGCATCTCAACTCAAATTAATTTAAAGCATTTTAGGTCTGTTGCTCTGCTCTTTTTTAACAACAGCGCCATCTGAGAATATTATCATTTAAGTGACTTAAGTACAGTATTTGAGGAATGAATGAATGGCCATACTTACACGAGTGATCATCTTCCACGAAGCATGTTAGAAGTTATCTCACAAAAACACTTTCGTTCTCACCCAGGAGGATGGAGGCCTATGTGGCTGGATCAAGATGAAACTGTAACGTGTGCATATTGTCAGAACATGCATAATATAATGGAACATTCCAGTCATCACAGTAACTTTCATATAGAACTCAGGAAGAAAGGCCCCCTTTAAACATGGTTGTTGTAATCCCTGGTGTTCATTGATGATGTTTTTAAAAAACCTTTCAGGTTTTGATTGTTTGTGTGTTTGTTTTTTAATTAAGGGGGATCTTCAATACTGGCTTGACTTTCTTCCCTGATTTGAGCAACATTCATTCCAACGACATGAACTTCATCCTGTAAGTTGTTGGCTGCCTGCTAATCACTGCTAATCTAACTTTAGGCAGTTTTTAATTCCATTGGGAATCCCTGTCAAAATCCAACTAATATAAGCTTGTTGAGACGTTGCATTTAATTGTCCTCTACCCATTATAAGTCATTACACCCGGTATATCCGAGTCTGCTTCCCTCCTGCAAATGCACTCTTTAGCCTTTCACAATTTCGTAAACCTGTCAAAACGAAAAAGACTCGTAGCTGCATGTTTCTGCCCCTTTAGACGATTAGCAACTGAGATTTGTGGGTTCCCTTCTGGGAAATTCTTCCACCGACCGGATCGCCTCAAAAATCTGAGTGTGTGCCGCTGATAAATGAGATCCTACAATATGTGGTCGCAAGTGCATCTCGTCCGCGTCGGCCTGTCCGTCTGAACAGAGCTGCGACCACAGACGCATTTCTGCGCCGGCAGTCACTTCCTTTATTTGCCAGCTCTAATAAATGTTCTTACCCAGCTGTAACACTTGAGAATAAAATCATCAGGGCCGCATTTCTCCCCCCCAGTGCCTCCGCTGAGTGAAAGGTATATATTTACTACACCACTTCATTTCCCCCTCTGTTCTGTGTGCTCCTTTTGCAGGGAAATCGTTGACCACCCCTACATTACCAAGATCCCGGCCAATTCGTTCAGCGGCATCACCAGCGAAGTGCTGACAGTGTGAGACACACACTCCATCAAGATGCACATAATGCTTTAATAGCAATTATTAAAAAAGATGAATTGCTTATTTCTCTAATGATGTACCGTATCTCTGTCAACATTAGTCGTACTTCTAAATCCAGCCAACTGTTCTAAAATAGTCCCTGTGAGCAACGTGGACTGTCCTCACACTGACCTCACTGGGTGCCTCGCAGAGATAGCAAAAACAAGCACACGGGCATTTTCAAGTACGCGGTTAGCTGTGGGACAGCTGTGAGTGGGGTAAATGTTGGACAGAAAAACCACAAAGCTACACAGACGGGAAAAAAAAAGAAGAAATAAGTAGTCCCCACTGAGCTCCATCACTTGCAGGGAAATAGATTAAAGTCCAGCGTATAGAAGATTTTTCTTCCCCCTGAAGAGACCCATTTTCTCTGTGGTCCTGTTTAAACGTTTTTCTCTTGTGTTTCAGCATGCTGTATGGAAATGGCTTCAGAGAGGTACAACATCATGCCTTTAATGGGACGAAGTTAGATCAAGTGTAGGTATTTCCAGCTTTAAAATTTAAATACTGTGCGGAATCGATGGGATGTTATTTTAATGACAAATGCCAAACGGTTTGGCACATTAGAAAATGCTAACAATAACTTTCGTTCATCAAATGTGGGAAGACTTGTCATCGTGCTATCCACCCCACTTTATACTGTTCGTGGTCCTTTCCCTAAAATGGGTTTTAGGGTAAAGCCCCTGCTTAGCGTTTACAAGGAAATTGACTGAGCTTTCAGTTTTAAAGCTGGCTGAGAGATTCTAAAGACACTGTTTTATTATATGTCATTAAAACCCTGTCGCTGGGACACTGAAACCATTCAATTTCGAGAGCTTCTACCCTCATATAAATTAGGTTACACACCATTTCTGCCTGGATTAAGCCATGGTGAAACATCTGGGATGTGGATCTCTTTACCCCAAATTGTGCTGCAAAAGCAAAAGAATCTCAGTTGGTTCTCCGCGGGCCGTCTCATATGCACTTCAAAAATGCCCGTCTCTTGATTAGTAAGATGAAGTTCTAAAGGGAAAATGTTTCCATCAGCGCATAACAGGAAGCTTACTTTACGGGTTCGCCTCAAACACACAGACAGTCTCACACAGTCTCTTGGACGGGCTTCATGCTTGTTTGTTTAATTCCGTGTTTTGTATGACAACGCTTCTACTAGGATTTCTAATTTTTGTTGCAACATGTTTTCTTCTTTTCGGTCCAAAGAAGCTGCACAATCAGGATATGAAGTATTAATGGCGTTAACACAAGGCCTTTGACAGAACCTTAAACTCAGCTCGGGGTTTCTAAGACTCAAATTAAGCCATCGCTCTGTAACTAGTCAGTCTTACCACACGGGTGTTTGTGTTGGCGCCCGAGAGGAGAACTGATCCCAGCACGGCCCGACCAAGACAAACACACCCCTCACAGGTCTATTATCCTTATTAGATTTAAGGGATTTGGGGATATGCGTAGGGGGTGTGCTGCACGTTTGAAGAGGTACACCTTTGAATCTTCTGCTGTCTAATTTGAATAGTGATACATTTTCCATCATGTTAAAAAAAAAAGATACACGTATATAGATATATATCAGAATTGCTTTTCTTTTTCATAAACATGTGCTTGTGCTCTCTTGTCCAGTGACCTCCACAGGAACAAGCATTTGACCAGAATGGACGACAGGGCTTTTTCAGGAACCATAAGCGGGCCCATGCTTCTGTAAGTACCCCCCCCCCGATCAACTATGCATACAGAAACATTAGTGTAAAAAACAGCGTGTTCTGTTCATTTCGATGCAACTGGCGTGGCACCTGCCCACTGACACAATCTGCGATACTCAGCGTAATTCTTCATTTCACCGATTAAGCTCAGTCAAATTGGAATGGAACACATTAAGCTGTCTTCTTTTCAAAGGAAAACACGCACGCTGATAGACTTTGCTTAGTGTTAGCATAGATAAGAGATCTATATTGGTTTAGAAACAACATTCCACAAAATAATGTGTTGATAAGTTGGCTTCAGAGGTGCTGATATGGGGATTTGGTCTTTTTTTTTTTCCTTCTTGTTTTTCTGCAGCTTTATTAAGCCGGCTGCTGTCTGTAACCTAACACCCGCAAAAGAGATTGTGGATCTGCTATTTAAACTATCAGAGAGCCAGAAAAATGAATCCTTCTTTTTATTATAACTAAACCCAATTCTTTGGGGGTTTTTTTGTTGTTTTTTTTCTGTCACGTTTTAACCCTCCAGCACACCACCTGTAGCACGCTATTAACAGGGATGTATCGGTAACCAATAGCCTTGGACTGGTAATTCCTCACACGTTGTGTCCAGTTACTGTTGCCTGTAACAATGTCCTCATTCATAATGTGCAGACTAGATGACACATGTCTGCAAGACAGGATAGAGTGGAGATCATTCCCCTCACAGCTGCAATGAAGTGACCGGGAAACCTGACATGCTCGTGTGTGCGAGCATGTCGTGAAGGAACCTTTTTTTTTTTTTTTTCTTAATGCCGTTTCCTGATATTAAAGGATACCTGATGCCTGGACGCTTTACCACGGCTATCTGGTTGCGGCCGAAGGTCCAATCAAGCCTCGGAGCGTTCGGTTAGGTAGAAAGAGGGGGTGTTGTGCAGGTCTTCCTCCGCTCCACAGAGGAACATGTCCTGAGTGAGGTCACCATCATGAGGTCATGAGCTCGACATCTGGAAATGACAAAATCAGACTCGAACTCAGAGGGGCTGCTCTGCCTTACACAACCTGCCCCACCAGGGGAGGAGAGAGCAGAGGACGGAGAAGTGGAGAAGGCAAATGGGACTACAAATGAACAAACTCTTAGCAAATACCAAATTGCCTGCTTGTGTTTCTTTCTTTTTATCAAATTAAACAATGACCTGTAGCCATGATGGATCAGAAAAAAAAAAGAATAGAGAACTTGGACACTGCCTGGTTCCTGGAAGGGGATCAGGTCCAGTGTGGGACCCTGGAATGTTCTGATAATGGGATCACACTGGAAGTTGGTGTGATTGTTCGTCTCCTTTGTCTCAATGAGGTTAGCCTGGCTTTGGCATGATGGCCCTAGAAATACCATAAGTAATTACTTAAAGATGAATGACTGGGGCGCTCATGCGAGAAAACAGATGGAGTAGTCACTTAATCCGTCTTCCAGCTCTCTGGTCTGATTATGTTTAGTACTCGCTTATATGTTGACAGTTCGTGTGCTGGGCTTATTAGCACGCAAATACAACGTTGTGGACTTATTTTGAACTCTCCACTATTATTCGGCCACATGCTTTAACCTGTTATATTCCTAGAACTCCACTGTTGTTTCATTTTGTCGGCCAACACAAATACAGAGGAGGTCATAATTACAAGGGATGAGTAAATGGAATTTGGTAAAAACCTAACACTAAAGGGGCATGAAAGCAGAATGGACCTAAACGCAATTACTGGCATCCAGCAGTTGTCTTGGCAGACCCTACCCACCATCCATCTTTCTTAATGCCAGATTCAGCTTTTTTTTTTCCAACAAAGGATTTCATCACAAGTAGTTTAAAAGAGTCCAACTTCTGACATTTTTAGTGCTGTTTATTGTCTCTGCTCTGGGCTGTTTTGTTCATAAGTAAAGCACTTCACCTTGATTCGTTTTGTGAGACACATCCTGCCTTAAAAAAAATCCTTATTTAACTTTGGATTTCATTATTCATTTCATAGCAGAGGCCGCAAAGATGCCACACATCATATCAATCCTCCATTTTGTATGGTAGCTCTCATTTGGCTGAATCACCCAATAACAAACATGTTTACTACATTACCAAAGACACTTTTGCTTCTTCTACTTCTGTCCATAAAGCGTTAAAGACCATAAAGGTCAGTCCATAAAGACTGACCTATCTGTGACTCATCTGTGAGTATAATTTCACAGGTTTTCTTTCAGTGAGTGCAGCCAACGGTAGAGTTTGACAGCACCAACCTCTGGTCAGTGCGACAAGTAGGCAAGAAAAAGGGCTTGTAGGATGTCCCTTATTTTGTGCCAACCGGTTCGGTTTTCTTTCACCTCAGAAGTTTGCCATTTCAATTTTCATCACTACTTACCTCTCTCTCTCTCCAGGGACGTGTCCCTGACGGCGGTCTCCTCGCTGCCCGCTGCGGGCATGGACTCTCTGCGGGAGCTGAAGGCGCGCGAGGCCTGGGCCCTCAAGAAACTGCCGCCCATCAAAGCCTTCAAACACCTCACCGTGGCCAACCTCACCTACCCCAGCCACTGCTGCGGCTTCAAGAACCTCAAGAAGAAGCGGGGGTGCGTGCTTTTCCCATCAGCTCTGGGTTCCGTAATCGGGGTTCGTGCCGACAAGCGGCCAACAAGGAGCGTGCGCTTTGTGTGCGAGTGCGGCTGCACTTTAAACAGTGTGGATTTTGGCATGGACCGAGTCCACTCTCTGACATGTGTACCTATAACCTCTTAAAGCGCCGACATAATTAGCGTCACTCACAACTGTTATTGCAAGAAAAAGGTCAGGTCAGACTAATAAGTGACTCAAAACTGGATTTCCATGTCTTCATCTGGATATGTAGGATACATGACGTAATTGTCACTTCAGGAAGGGGCTGTTTTGGTCTAATTTATAAGCACGTTACTCCTAAATGAACTTAGTCTTACGCCGTCCTATTTGTCTCCATGTGTCTTTCAGCTTTTTGGAATACATCATCTGTAACTTAACGTCCTTCTATGACCAGCACCACAAGCGCTCGGTGGGGCCCCTTCGCATGCCGTTCCTACAAGGGGACAGCGTAGTCGAAAAGCCCACAGACCAGGAGCAGAGCGGCGGAGGCCACAGAGAGACCCAGAAAGACTGGAGGCGAGGAGACTTCCACGGCAGCCTTCACTACCACGCCTACTTCGGGGGCCAGCCGGACGAGGAGGTGGGTTTCGGAGAGACCCTCAAGAACCCCCAGGAGGACAACAGCCAAGACTTTGACAGCCGCTACGACTATGTGGTTTGCGAGGAGGGCGAGGAAGTGTCGTGCGCCCCGGTGCCCGACGAGTTCAATCCCTGCGAGGACATCATGGGCTTTGGCTTCCTGCGAGTGTCGGTGTGGTTCGTGAGCCTGCTGGCCGTCCTGGGAAACGTGGTGGTGCTCCTCGTGCTGCTGACCAGCCACTACAAGCTCTCGGTCTCCCGCTTCCTCATGTGCCACCTGGCCTTTGCCGACCTGTGCATGGGGATCTACCTGCTGCTCATCGCCTCCGTGGACCTCCACACGCGGTCCGAATACTTCAACCACGCCATCGACTGGCAGACCGGCGCCGGCTGCGGACTGGCCGGGTTCTTCACGGTCTTCGCCAGCGAGCTGTCCGTCTACACCCTGACTGTGATCACCCTGGAGAGGTGGTACGCCATCACCTTCGCCATGAGGCTGGATCGCAAGCTGCGCCTGCACCATGCGGCGGCGGCGATGCTGGGGGGCTGGATCTTCTGCCTGCTGCTGGCCCTGCTGCCGCTGGTCGGGGTCAGCAGTTACCAGAAGGTCAGCATCTGCCTGCCGATGGACACCCACTCCGTCACGGCCCAGGTCTACGTCTTGTCCGTGCTGGTCCTCAACATCCTGGCTTTTTTGGTCATCTGCGCCTGCTACTTCAAGATCTACTGCGCTGTGCACAACCCCCACTACCGCTCCGGATCCAAGGATACCAACATCGCCAAACGCATGGCCGTCCTCATCTTCACCGACTTCCTGTGCATGGCTCCCATTTCTTTCTACGCCATGTCTGCCGTTCTAGACCGGCCCCTCATCACCGTGTCCAACTCCAAGATTTTGCTGGTGCTTTTTTACCCCCTCAATTCTTGCGCCAACCCGTTCCTCTACGCCATCTTCACCAAGGCCTTCAGGGGAGACGTGTTCATCCTCCTCAGTAAGGTGGGCCTGTGTCAGCAGCGGGCCCAACTTTTCCGAGGCCAGACGGTCTCATCGAAGGGCAGCAGCGGCACGTTCCAGGTCCGGAGAGACAAGGCTAAGAGAGGAGGAAGCGCAGGCCAGGAAGACATGCCCATCCACCTGAAGAGGTGTTCCGGACGCGCCTACAACAAAGCAATCGGTCAAAAGGCCAGCCCAGAGGAGAGCCAGGCCGTCGACACGTGAGCCGAACACCGGCCTCAGATAGCCAAGCGAAACAGGTTCAGGTGGGAGAGCAGAAGGCCTCCAGTGTTCCCGGACCAATCTGTTTGGATATTTAACAGAGAGCTCCGGTATTCCAAATCCACCTCAGTTCTCAGACAAAGTTCAGCTGTTTTCACAATTTCGGCTGTGATGATTTTACGGTTCCAGTTGTTGGAAAATATCAAGTGTCACTGAAACCTGAGCCTGACTTCATCTCACTCGTAGTCCTTTGTATTCCAGTGGAATGGGTAGAACTGTACAGACGTTATATTCAGGACATAGAGACAGGGTAAGAGTTCAAACACGAGCAACAATAGACTCAAATAAATAACTATACGTTTTTCTTTTTCTTAACGATATATCTATTCTAATTCAAATTACGCTAAAGAAGATATAACACATTGCCATATCAGTTTGAATTAACCTGAGGACCCTTCTGCAGCACATTATGTGTTCTGTTGTGGGACAGCCTGCTGGCTCAGTGCCGTTCAATCGAGGAAACTTCTTTTTATTATCAGATTAACACCTCTGTGTTTGATGTGAATAGACAATATCGAATGGAGTCCCACGGGCGAAAAAAGGGACTAATTTTTCTGAAACTTAAATGTAAACACAAACACACACAGTGTGGTTTGGTGCTTGGCCGTGAAGGTAGTAAGCAGATGGGAGTGCTTTTACAGTTTACGTTACATAGAGTAATAAAATATTTCTCTACTCCTTGTCATTATGTTGTTGACTGTCATTTTTGTTAACTTGAACAACTTTTACCAACGTTGATACAGGGCGAAAAAGAAAAGCTTGTGATGATGCCCTCTCATCTCTAAAGAGGGTGCGTTTCGATTCCAAAGAGCAAACACGAGACATATTTTCAATATTAGCAAGTTTTATACAAATCACATGCAGGTACGAGGATCATTAATCCATACGGTTCAAGCCTGGCCTCTCCTCCGGAATGTCGTGGTTGTTTTTCTAACAGGATCGTGATGTTTTTCCATCCCTCTACGGAAACGGACGACTTATACAATCAGGGGGAAATAGCTCTGCCTTTCTTGCCGGTGGAGCCTAGAGCAAACACAGCCGACCCGCGTGTGGTGCTGCCGCTCGAGTGATACCGAACCAACACACGTTAAAGAACACCCTCTGCAAACAGCAGCGGAACATCTGGATAGCGTTTAATCTGCAAGGTGACGCTCCCCTCTATCTGCAGATGAGCAGGAGGGACTTTCTGGGAAAGAGGGATCATTTACCGTTTTGGTGGGGGGGATAAACATAATTTTCCAGCTGTGTACACTGGATGTAAAGTGGCCGGATCTAAAAAAAAATGGAAGGATTTCTGAGTTTAAAGTTAAACAAAATAGGGGCATCTGCTTGGAGTCGCACTGTGGATGTCTATGTTAAAGTCAGCTAAAGGTTTTTCCACAGATTTACGAATCCCAATCACCGACAACGTTAAGCTGGATTGTGTTGGATCTGGCTGCGTTCGTGAAGGGGCCCGGGGCCTCCCCCACCCCCACTTCCACTTACCATCCACTCACAGTTCGGCTGGACGTGCTTGTCGGGGAAGATAAGCATCAAGGTGGCTGCGCTGCGCGTCTAGGGGCACGACCTGCCAACGCTCTCCGGGCCCGTCGTCTGGAATCTCTCTGGGAAATATGGCCAGGCTCACCATCTAATTAATGGACGGAGCAGAGCAAACCTGAATGAGACCGACTTGATTTATTTGGACATCTTTCTCCCTCTTGGCTAAAGCGGACGATCATTCCTTGCCCAATATTAGAAAAATAAACCTCAGATGCGAGCTGTTCTTTAAATAAGCAGGGCATCGACACAACAACACACCTCTCCGACGCAAGATTAGGCGGCCAAACTCAAAGACAGAGGGGAAAGAATGATGAAAAGGGGAGACTGAGGTTTACGTTACAAGATTTGGAGGAGCTGCGGCCACTCAGAGGAGGTGGAAACCTCACGTATCCATCCAGCTCTTGATGCTGGGAACATAAAATCCCTGCATTTATGTCATCATTCCCGTGAGCCAGTCAGCACGAATGCACCTCTTCAAGAGTCAAGCTGCTGTCCTACAGAGAGCTCTTCAAAGGCAACCAAAGTGAATCCAAGAGCTTAAGGCAGTGAAAACATCCCTAACTCCCCAGGAGACAACTTTCATGCAACCACAGTTTTACAAAAAAAATTCTGAGTAAATTCCAAAAACACGGAAGATGTCCACTCAAAATCAATCGCAGCGAACAACAAAATGTTGAAAGTTTGACCCTTTTGCCGTCTCATATAGGATTCTAGCTGGTTCCATTAGCACTGCATTTGTCATCTACAACTATTCATGACCAAAGCTCTGTTAGCATACCTGGCTAAAAGTAGTGGCTGAAAAAAAAAAAAAAGGTGGCAGATGGTTGGAATTGTTTGTGCGCTGATCTTTGCAAAGAATGTTTCTTTTTAATTTTTTCAAGATTGCCTTAATGGAAAACACAAAAAAAATAGAGAGAGGCCTCGAGCAACTGAGGTGAAGTAGGAATGCGACACAAGATTCATAACTTCCAGATTTCCGTCACAGCCACCTATGTTCCCGTGAGCGATGGGCTGAGGTACTAAGTCCCATCAAGACTTTAAATACGCACAAACTGCCCTTTAGTGACGTCAGTCCCTGTTGTTTATAGCTTCAACCATTTTGTTGGGGGCGTGCAGATGTCGTCTGCTCCCTCTGATGTGGACCTGTGCCTGGATTGTCACAAAGCCAAAAGAAGTGCCTTTTTTCATTCCCTCCAAATTCCGGCTAATTTTCCTTCCTGTTAATTCTGTCAGCGGAGGTTTAGCAGCCGTCGTTCGTCCACACCTGCTTTTAAATGCCCCCCACGCCGTTTCAGTCGAGTTCAGACGGAATCAGAATCTCCTTTTCAGTCTTCGGCCTGACGTTTGACTGTACAATGCCGATATTTAAAGGAGTTCGTGGCCGACAGAAACGTTTCAGAACAAGCCCATATCACCAGCCTTCCACCACTGTGCCTGACCATTTGTGCCGACTGAACCTTAACGCTTCCACGTTGGTCTCGTCTGCCCAAAAGACACTGCTCAATCATTAAAAAAATGTTTTTAAAAGCCTTCTGCAGCTTCCCTAAAAGATTGAACAGCCTCGACTCACAGTAGTTTCTAAAGTGCTCTCAGTCAGTTGCTTCTAAGTTGACTCCTGATGTCTTTCTACTGTGGTATTCTTTTCTTTTCCATGCCAGCAATAATTCTCAAACTTCAACTCAATCACAAGACTTTAAATTGTTAATATACTTTAAATGCAATACTCCCCCTATATATATATATATATATACACACACACACACACACAAATATTTCAAAGTAATTTCTTTCTCTAATATATGGCAAAAACATGGCCATCATCTTGACTTGTAGTGTAGCAACAGGAGCAACTGTCAGTCTGTATTAAATATGATTTTTTTGTGAAACTGAAAGGGGCTGAAACAATCAAGAAATGATGTGTTCGGGACTTAGCCAAGAGGCAGGATTTATAGAGGAGGATTCTTTAGAGGACTGTGTTAAAGCACAAGATTCTGGATCCGTCTTAGCAAAGCGTCCTCCTGACCTGCCCCGTTTCCCGGGACTACATTCATCTCAACCGAACCACGGCAAGCGAACACGGCTAACACATTCCACTCAAGTCAAAGGCTTCCAAAAGAAAGAAAAATCCCGTTTTGCCGTGTACGCGATTGGCAATCACCGCCAGTTAAGCCGTCGAACAAAATCTAGACATTTCCAGGGCTTCGTTTTAAGCCTCACTTGACAGCTGCTCAGTCTCATATGTCCGAGTGCCCACGAGTGGCAAAGAAGGGCCTACTTCATCAGACGCAGCCAGGGATGAATCCACCCTCCTCCTCCTCCCACAGGCCTGAAAAAGAATTAGAAAGAAAATCTCAGAGGAGAGATGTGTTGTTAGAAAGTCCATTACAATCAAGAGCAAAAAAAAAAAAAAAGTCTTCATGTAGTCTCTGGTTGGGCTTTAATCCCCGACAGCGCCACGCCTTCATCTCATAATGACCCCAAAGGAAATAGACGGGGATTGAGGGAGTTTGGGTTAGAATTAGACGGCTGGCAGAGGCAGAGACCCCGACGGCGTTCCAGATGCTGGACGGTGGAAGGGTGGATGTGGAGGGAAGCCGGGACAGATGTGGGGCCTCAGGAACATGGAAAGAGATCCCGGAGGAGAACCATTCAACAAATATCGGGACGGTGTCGATTTTGGGGAGCTCAACTTATTCAGCACACAGACCTGGTTGTCAAAGCGGTCTCTCTCTTTTTTCTTTCAGTTTGGAATCTCAGCCAACGTAAAGCAGCGTCTCTTTCCCAGATATTTTGGAGACACTCATCCCCTCATTTGACTTGGCCTGATGAGTGGAATTCCTCCGTATGTGGCTGCAGATCAGCTGGCGCTAAACTTCATCCACTGGTTAGGAAGATCATGAAAACACCTGCCTTCGCCTTTACATCAACTTCCTGCTCCTTACAGAATGGATCTCTTGTAATTAAGAAGTATTAAGAGGTCTAGACAAACTTTCACATGGTCCATCCATACGAATACAAAGTTCTACCTGAATGTCTTCATGCCAACTTTTTGAAAAGTAGCTGCTCTGAATCTCTTTTTTTTTTTTATTCTATAGGATCTACTTCTCTTAAGTCTAGTCGATTCAATTTATTGAGGTAATATAAATCTTTTCATCATTTTTATTCAATTACACACACTTTGTTTTCAATTGTATTTGATTTCCCTTCATATACTTTGCATAAATGAATAAATGAAATCGACGAGTCCTTGAATCTGTTGAATAAGCAAAACAAGCGGAAAAAGCTGCCTGTTCAGGTTAAAGACTGCTCGAAGAGTTAAAACTAATTTAAACAGAATAAATTGGTTTATGCAACACTTGCATAAACCAAAAGATATTAGAAAAAGCAGAGACAAAAATAGATAACTTAGCAAACTCCCAGAAAGCTCAAATAACTGACATGAATTGCTTATTTAGACCTCCAGAAAAAAGGCTTATGTCCCACAAAATAAACAAAAAAAGTGATTTTTACTATTTTTTTGCAAACGACAATTTCAACTGTGAAAGTAACCATCATTTTATTCCAAACTCAATTGAAAGAAAATCAAATGAATGAATATGAACTTCAACATTTCTTTCAACGTCTGGAAACCAGTTACAACACACGACAATCAGAAAGGAGAGAACACAGTTTTTATGGACATTATTTGAGATATCAAAAGAAAACGTGAAACGAAAACTTGCAAAAAGGCACAGGTGACAGCTGAAAAATGCATGTAAGGAAATATCTGGGAGATAGTTTGATTTAGGAGACCAAAACCTACAGAGCTACGGAATCCTGCCTCTTGACAGCTGGAACAAAAAAAACAAAAAACATGCTTGCATTATTTTTGATAGGATTCAGTTTTTTGGACACCGTTTTCAATCCAACATTCAAAACTAAAAAAATAACTTATTTCAGCCTGATCCCACCTGGAGTTGTTTGGTTACAGCCCACTTTACATTTAGACGGATTATTTGCCATGTGATGGTGTTGATGCCGTTTCTTTTTAAAAACAAGTATACAATAGAAAATGAAAAAAACAAACATACTTTATTTCAAATTGTTGCAACGGGCCAGAAGCACACACAGACCCCGCCCCCCCCCCCCGCCCCAAACCCACTCCATAGAAAACATCTTCATTCTTAAAAGTCGTGACTAAAACGAAAGCACATTAGAACGAATAGTGGACGAAATGATTTGGAACACAGCAGTACAGAGCTCTTTGTCCACCCAAAAAACAGAAGAAAAAAAAAAAAAGGAACACTTAATAGATGTTAAGAGCACAATTTGGTGCCACTTTCTGAGCTTCGAAAAAAAGAAAAAAAATCACAAAATTTCAGCAATAAATAAAGAATGACTCACCCAGCCCCACGTGTGTAACTGTAAGGGGCCGGACTCATTCCTTTTCAGGGAAAAGTGGTAGTAAACACACATGTACACACACACACAAACGTGGAGTCAGTCACCATCACACACACATACAAAGCAGAGGAAATTGTGGCTATTCATTACCTGGACCGACCGACCTCACGACACAAAGATAAAAACGCTAATCTTTTGACGGCTGCCGACAAAATTAAAAATTAGAGCAGAGAAGAAGACGCCGACGTTCGCACAATTTGTACAATTCTAAAAAAGTGACTTCTTTTTTTTCTTTTTTAAATGATTTTGGTACTATTCCTTTAGAGATGGAATGAAGCTCCAGAGGCAAAATTGGGTGGGATGGGGGTTGAATGGGGGGGTCTTAGAATTTTACCTTCCTTTTCTTCATCTTATTAATTACATTGGAAAAAAAAAATAGAAAACTAACAAAATTTACAATAATAGATTAACTACATAAAACGCTCTGGAGCACCATTTTCATGAACACGGAGACAGAACTACGATCCAGGGACAATGAAGAGAAAAAAATGAGAAGCCAAAGGTCATTCTAAAAAAAGGCAGCGATTTTGACTGGTGGCACTAAGTTCGGACTTACATACAGACACGAGTCAATCCAGTCAACCGACTACAGTGCATTACCACGGTGTTCGTCATCTAGGGGGTTGATAGGGATGGCCTGGGACCTCCTGTGGCGGGGGCAGGGCACCCTGGTCCACTACACCTGTTTGAAGTGAAATGCTTACTTTCATGAAATCTCAGGAAAAAAAGGCAGAGAAGCCTGGAAGAAGAGGAGGAAGGGAAAAAAAAGAAAGAAAAAAGAAACGATGCTCTGTTCTGGGGCTCTCCCTCCCTTGTTGGTTTCTCATCCCACCAAGGCTAGCCGAGTGTTTGCTGTGACGACACCCAGGGGGGCTGGGGTGGGGGGGGTATGTTTTTTTTTCTTTTTTTTCTGACAGTACCTCACAATCCTTTGGGTTTGCAGAGTTCTCAAAGACTCAGAAGCAGCTTCCTGAAGGAATCCAGTCACAGGATATGGAAGGATGCTGAAGTGTCTGTTAACTGGACAGAAGGGGTCACAGAGTTCTACTTCACCACTCGGCGTCCCCGATGGTTTTGCTAAAGACGTAATCTCTGCCGTTCAGGTTCATGATGCCGTCCTTCAGGTGGAATTTCCACTTGTTCTTACTTCTGTGAATCTGGGGAGGGAGCAGGAAATGAGTGTGGTCACAGGGTCCCTAATGGTTTGCTAAGGCTGAACTTCTGGGCGGTGCGGTGCGGCCATACCTTGTCGTACTGGCACACCACTACATTCTCTGTGTCAAACAGCTCCTGGTCTTCTGCGTCGCTGACATCATCCCCGCTGTTCAGAGGCTCCTAACAAGGAAACCAAAGCAGCAATTAAAAAACGTTTTTAAAAAAAACCTGGCTCACCTCCCATGAATAAAAACTGACAGATTTGCCTCTCACCTCTTCCACCTGCCCGTCCTCTACGCCATCTTTGTCTTTCTCCTCCTCCTCGTCTTCGTCATACTCCTCCTCCTCGTCTTCGTCCTCCTCCGAGGAGGTGTCTCCGGCACCGTCCACCTGCAGCATCATGGGAGGCTGCTGCGCCTGGGGCTGGGCCTGCTGCTGAGCCTGGGGCTGAGCCGGGGCCTGGGCGGCGGCGCCCTGGGCCTGCTGCACCTGAGTGGCCGTCGGCGCCTGGCCGGGCTGCGGCGCCATGGTGGCCGCCTGCATCACCTGCACGGGAGAAGGGAGGACGGATCAAAACACTCAGTGTCCCTCTGAACCACAGGGGGGTCAAAGTATGTCGCTTTTATCGACGCTAACAGGGAGCTCCGACCTGCGCGTTTCCCTGGACTTTGTTTCCAGGAGTCAGGACGATCTGCTGTGGCTGGATGATGACTCCCGTCTGCTGAGGGAGGCCTCCTTGTAGCGGAGCCAGAACCTGGTCAGGATGAGAAATAAACTAATTAAACAAATAAAAACCCATTTACCATCCAAAATTGTGGAGAACTACTCTAGAAAAACTGGAAGAAAAAAAAGAAAAAAACTTTAATGGAAAATCAATTATAGCTTTTTCATGGATCTGATTCAATTAACTGAGCAATTTTCCAAGTGATCAAAGTCATTTTTTATAAGACTGCACAAAAGTTCTGGTCCATTGGAAGCTGAATTAAACGAACAGTTTCTGGTCAGAGTCCTAATTTCCCACAACACGGTAAACCGGTATCAGCATATCGGCTCCTCGCTGGTTGTGAACAGACGACACAAACGGGCCGGTGTGTACCGACCTGCTGTATGACCGGAGCCTGCATGCTCCCGGGCTGCATCTGCTGCTGCAGGACGATCTGCTGCTGCGGCTGCTGGATGATGTACTGCGCCCCATTGGGCGTGCGCACCACCTGCAGGATCTGACCTGGGATCAGAAAGGAGGCAGTAGAGGGCGTGAGTGTGAGCACGCCACACTCCCGAGCTGCGGCGGCACGAGGAAAGGGACGGGTGTGAGCGCTGTACCCTGGCTGGTGAGGAGCTGTTGGTATGGAGTGACCCCTGTGGGCAGAGCGAGCGTTGCTGCCGTAGCTGCTGCAGTCTAGAAGACAGAAGGAGACGCACTCATGTTTATATGTTCAGAGTCTGTGTAGGGTCCTGCTCAAATTCTTGCAGACAGGACGACGCAGATTTACTCAATCTGTCCGTATAATCTGCCAGTTCAAAGTGTATTTAAGTGGTGCACAGATAGAAAATTCAAGCTTTATGTTGACAGAAGACAGCAGGACCTCAATAATGACCGATGTGTTCAGGGAAACTAAGGAACATGTTCTCAGATCATTATGTGAGGAAGTATAAAGCACTGATGAGCTGTCGCTTTAATATTCAATTTTATTTTAAGAGGACTTTGTTTTGCAAGAACTTTTTTTTAATCTGTGAGTGTGGTCACTTAATTGTGGGTCATTTGACACAATCTCCTCACACTTCGGTCTAGAATCCAGGTCACAGAGCGGTCTACTCACCATCCCAGTCGCACTCATGTGCTGTAGAATCTTCGGGTCCTGAACAATGACTTGCTGCTGGGGAGCTAAACAGAAACAGTTTGTGGTCACAACGATGAAAAGAAAATTCAAAATCAACAAAGTGTGGTTGTAACCTGGGAACGGGACGGCCCACCTTGCTGTTGCTGGGGCGGCAGGATGACCTGCTGCGCCTGTGCGGGCTGAGTGACCTGCTGCACCTGCTGGACGTGCTGGACCTGCTGCTGCTGCTGCTGGGCGGCCTGCAGGGCGGCCTGCTCCTCCGTGTGGAAGCCCTCCACTGCCTTCGACTGCAACAGCTTGCTCTCCCAGAGCTGCCGCGGTAGGGGGGGGGGGGGGGGGAGACGACAGGCCGTTTCAGAAAAAAGCCAACATCTGCGCTTGCGTTCGAGAACAACGGTCGCTGAGCTCCGTTACCGTTTTCAGCTCCAGGAGAACCTGCTCATCCACTCCCTCGTCCAGGAACAGCTCGCGTACCTCGCTGATCACATCCTCGATCACAGACTTGTACAATTTAGGCTGGGGTTAGCAAGGGCAAAAAGGGGAGGGGGAGGGGGAATTAAGTTAACTTTGTGACAATAAAACATATCTGCTGTGATCCAAGCTAACCAACCGGGAAAGTGCATGAATATTCTGGCTGTTATAGAAGAAATGGAATGGGGATGGATGACTAATTATGTAACCCTGTTATCAGCAGTTAAACACATGTACAAACACATCGCTGTTAGAATACGTTGACATTTCCCCTTTGCAGAATAAGCATTATTAGGGATGATGAAGTAACAGCTTCTGCATATGCGCAATCCAACTTTTACAGCCCGGTATAAGCCATGGTGCTGGGCTTTGCACTTTACTGCGTAGCTCGCTTCGCTAATCCATACATCCACTTTAGCACCCATTACCGTCCCTCGGGACGGCGCAGCAATGGTTGTCTCTCACTGACAAACGCCTAAGAATTATTATTATTATTATTATTTTTTTAAAGCGTACACAAACACAGGCCGGCGCGGCTTAAGGCTACCGGTCAGGCCGCCTCGCCGGGCTCGATGCGCGGCGCTACCCCGGTGTCCGCAGCGGAGACCTCCGTCTCTCCTTCCCTCCCCCTCGACCCGTCTGTTCCTCCACTATTTAAAGCTCAGTGTGGTGTTTATATGTAGAGCCGGTGACGTAGCGTCGTGTAGCACCTTCCCATCCCGGGCAGTCTATATTAGACCGCCAATATGGCTGTATAAAACCAGGCAGCGGAAAGGAGGAGGGCCAGAACCGAGAGAGAGCGGAGACGTGGAAGCCATTTTACAGAGAGCGGCGGGCTCGCGCGCCCTATAGCCTCGTTCTTTTTTCCCCACAATGTTTGGCGGAATACGACGGAAATTTATCCGTGTCGTAGCTTATGGTGTTTCTAGGCTTAAGCTAACTAATTTGGCTTTGACGCCAGGGAGCTGGACAATATTTGGCATGTTATGGGTAAAAGGAGGTGGTTTTGGGACGGCTCTGCTGGCCGTTGGTCGTGGAATGGTGGACAATGATGAGGCAGCTGACGGAGCATTGAAGACTTTCGGCTAAGGACACTTTAATATTTGAAAATTTAGCCTTCCGTCGACCGCAGTGGACGGTGACTGTGCTTTGGGTACATCTGTATTCAATAAAGTCATACGACATTAAGAATTAAGCTGTACGTTTCTCAGTTTAATCGACCATTTAAGGCTCCCTTAGCTAAATTAACAGCTTCAATGTCGAATAAAAAACTCCATGTCTTAAAATCATTCAGTCATTAATAAAAAGGCTCTCTTGATACTACAATGAGACACTTACCCTAAAAGACAACCAACCTGACAAAAACCCCCAAAACAACTTAATTAGAAAAAATGCTTTTCCATCCAAGTTTTTAAAAAAAATAGAACACCATTGCCATATATATGTATATTATAGTATCTAAATAAATATATGCCCCTGCAAAGTAAGCCATTACTGCCATGAATGGTTTGTTCTGGAAGAACTATTTGGTTTCGAAAACTGGCCAGTATGGCTCATGCCTGTACGTGAGTTTTCCCTTTAATTGACATATAAGTGACGTGTTGGTTAAAGCAGACTCATTTCACTGCAATAAATTTAACCAGCTTGTCCACATCTTTCCATCAACTTTACCCCCATTTTCCCCCCCTCTGACAGTCCTTAGAGATTGATCCTTACCACTGGGTTCGAGTTTGCCGAGCTCGTCATTATACGCGTAGTGTAAAGACCACACAGAAATAGGCGAGAAATCAAGCCAAAAATTACGAAAAAATACTTAAAACAACTGGGAACGGTAATTTAAAACAGCCGGCATCACTTTTGTAAATAAAACACAGTTTCAACGGTCTTATTTACAATCCCGGGCTGCGACTCCCCAGCCGTCCTTCTTCCGTCGTTGTCCTGCTTTATATACTGAGCGATGGAGCTGCGAGTGCGCGAGACATAGGGCAGGGTCAAGTGGCACATACCGCGAGATTTGCAGAAAACGATGACTAATGAAAGGAGTAGCGGCCGGGAAATGTAGTTCTAAAATGATTAAAGACAGGCAGACAAATAATCTCAGACCAGAGCTTGTTAATGCCGTGTTATCTTATTTAGTGAAGTAGGCTGACTATACATAACAAGGTCTGTTTAAGGAGGATTATTCCCATCACTGTGATTTAAAAAAACAGATAGAAGGGAAAATAAAATGCAGAAACAAACATGCGAGTGCATGTGATCACGAACAATTTAATTGAGCAAATTTTTCTTTAATGGCTGAGACATCTTGCAGTAATTGGTTTTATTGGCTGATTTCCATATGAAAGGTTCCACAAAAGCATTCTTTTCGCTTTTAAAACGTGTCATGTTAAATCATTCTTTGCTGTGTAAGCGCTTCTGTCTGCGTGTTTATAGGCAATTCCCATGTAGCAACATAATGTTGCCACAAGAGGGAGGTCACTTCACACAATAAGCAGACGACCCCCTTTTCTTCCCTGTTCCAAGACACTCACGTACAACAGCACACACAGACACACGATCTATTCACGTGGTGGAGACAGCAACTATTTTACAAGATAACCAGTTTAAAGAGGAAGACGATTTAAGTCGTTCTCTGGACGAACTGCCTCCCCATAGTATTTTTTTTCTTTTATCTAAAATGAACGTGACCAAACTACTACATTTTCCCAAAACAATAAAGCTTTTGCCATAAATTTGAGCTGACAAGAGAACGTTACCTCCAGTTCAGTCTCCATGGAAACTTGCTGTGCTGGTCACTCTGTGTGATATGGATGATATAGACTAGTGGGGTGTGTGTGTGTGTGTGTGTGTGTGTGTGTGTGTGTGGGGACGTGCAGCACCCGCTGCAGCAATCCACTTAACACTCCAGCATGGCTTCTCTTAAAACGGAAGGTCATCTACCAGAATTCATCTCCCCAAGATTAAATCAAAGGCCTCACTGACCCTCCGCCGAGGGCACGCTTTTGATTTTCACTTGCAAAAACAAAGTGAGAAATGGCCGGAGACGTGTGTTCCTCACATGTGATCAGGCCACAAAGCCGGGGCCCTACCTGCGAGCCTCCGTCTCTGCGACTGAGTAATACGATGCCCTCTAAAGATCTAGAGAATGCACACTTTTTTTTCCCCCCCACCCTCCTCTCATCTTTGCTGTAGTTGCATAGCAACAGAGGAGCTGCTAGCTCCAGTTGTGTTGTGGTGGGAGCGTGCTGCACAGGGGGAGGCACTGGCTCAAGATTAAGCCGGTCTCTACTTCAATTATGAATGGGCTTCCACTGCCACACGGCTCTGAAATGGCACCCCCTCAGATTGATAAGACGCTGAGGAACTCTTTGGTACACTTAACTCTTTTACTCCTCTCCCCGAGGGGAGGGGAGAGGGGGACCGAGTTTGACTTTAATCAGAAGTATTGAACTTAAATGATTAGCGGAGGCAAATGAATAATTAACTGGCAGAGGAGGCCTGGTTATGATAAGACCCTTGTTGATGTGAATATGTGAGGTTAATGATTGGGGTCAGGCTTGAGAGCAAATTAAAGAGTCTCCAGTCTCACAAAGCCGGCACTTTACAAGTGAATGGGGTTTACGGTGTGGCGCTGCGAGCCTCTTTCTTCTAATCCCTTACTCTATATAACATCATGAGAAAATGGGGAAATCACACGACCCACCGGGCGGGACTTTGTTTTCAACCCAGGAAAAAGAAGTGGCAAAGCCTCTCTTCTGCAACTTGTACTTTTTTTTATTATTGCAACCAACTGGAAGACAATACATCACATAAACATCATCGTAGTTTCTCAGAAAATGGAAAACAAAATAAAACAACATTTATATATTTTTTGCCACGGTATTGGACAACGTTGATATTTACATGTAGTGATGAGATCGGTTTTAAAATCATTCTTTGGCAATGTGATTGCACGATAAGGAGAAAACCGAACATTTACTGGAAAAAACAATAAACAACCCCAAAAAGAAACAACAACAAAAAAAAATAAGAAAACAAAAAACACCCGGCCTACTCTGCTTTGCCTCTCAGGTCAATAACAGCTTTGCATTGTGACATCTCCAAGCTATGGCTTTCCGATACTCAGCTTAGACAGTCACCAAAAACAAATAAAACACTTTTTTTTAAAAGAAATGGCAGTTTTGTATATCATTTTAGATGCTAAACAGCAACTAAAAAGGCATCAAATAAAAACATCAGTGAATGAAACAATAAAAAAAAGAGACAAAGAATGGCAACAGTTTCTTTCATAGCTTTTCGTTTGGCAGGTTTTTGAACAAACACTATTTTTTTGTTTGGAGGAGGAAGGGGGGGGGGGGGGAGTGTTACATTAATTTTTCGGCAGTTGTTTTTTTAGTTGTCGTTTCCAGGGCTAACTGGGAAGGAGCTAAGCTTTCCGGTATGTCACAGACGGGAATAAAAAAAAATTAAAAAATCAAAAATTTGAAAACAGAAAAAAAAAAAAAAAATCAGCAAAGAGCTCAGCCCTGGACTTTCAGATACTCTCTTGTGGGTTGCCGTGGATAAGACGCAGGATGCAAAGCCGGTGACGCATTCTACAGGTGGCAAAAAAAAAAAAAAAAAGAGAAAAAAGAGAGAACAAAAAGCGTACCAGCGGATGGGATGTGCATTTGTTTTCCCACTTGGCTCGCTGACACTCGCTCAGCGTCTATTCAGCTCCGAACAAAAACCTCGTCTGGCTCCGCCACAATAAACAAACCCGGCCCGTGGTTGTACCCACAGAGCTGCTTTTTCTGTGGGCTTGCATGTCACTTCCGCCCAAATAAAAGAAAAAGAAAAACCCATAAAAAAACAACAACATCTGATCAGCAGATTGGGCTCTCGCACACATTGCCAAATCCTTATTTTTCCCCTTTCCCACAGGGAGGAAATTCCCAAACCAAACTGGTCGTTCATGACATCTTTCTTCCAGGTAGCCTTTTTTTTTTTTTAATACTTCGTTTTTGTTTTTTTTTGTTTTTTGGAGATAAGAGGTTCATCCAGGACACATACAAAGTTTTCCATGCCCGTCTGATTCACACATTTACACCGAACAATGTCAATGGAAAGTAAGGACACATGTACATTTTACACACTGGAGAAAAAGAAAAGGAAACAAAAAATCAGAATACTGTTATAAATAAAGACGGGTAGATGCTCTGCTATGACAACAGAGGTACTGAGGGCAGGCAGGGAGGCAGGCACAATGTTAAAGGGTGTGTGTGTGTGTGTGTGTGCGTGTGTTCCTGGGCACACAAACCCACACGCTCCACACAGACGTGTTCTGGAATAACACCGGGGTTAACACTGAACACCGAACAGAACGAAAAAAACAAAAAAAAAAACGGCAAAAAAGAAAGAACAGAAAAGAAAAACACTGTACAGGCAGAAGAAGACCCCCCCCCACCCCCCCACCCCCCCTCCCCCTAAACCCCCGAGAGGTGACTCTGCTGGCTGGGCCCGAACCCGGAGGGAAGAGGGCAGGGACGAGGAAGAGGAGGGAAGAGTGGGGGGGGGGGGGTGCTCCTCCCTGAAGACGTGTTTTTGAAAAGCCCGCTGAGAGAACCCCGACAATCTAAAGAACCCAAAACATTAAAAAAAAACTTTAAAAAAAACTCCATAATAATCAGGGGGTGTAAGAACCGGCTGGGGACCAAAGAAAAAAAAAAAAAAATACATTTTTTTTCTTTCCTCTAGGATCAAGGTTTATATGAAAATAAGTCATGCTTCATGCTAAATACATCGTTTATCTTACATGATCTTTGAATAAAAAAGATTTGCTTCTTATCTTATTTACAAGCACCCATGCAATATAACTGAGAAAGTCCTGCAGGTCAAATTGCTTCGATTTAAGAAAGGAAAAAAATAAAATATTTTCTAACCTTTTTACAAGAGTTGCCCGCGCGGGGCAAATTGCTTATATCTTTATGAGGGTAGAGGTGGAGGGGTCAACGGACACCAACAGAAAAACTCGAAAAAAAAAACCCCACAGTTCATGTTTGGAGTTTTTTTTTTTTCTTCGACAGCGTCAAGTGGAGAGGAAGGTGTGGCAGCTACCGGTAGCTATGGTATCTATACCAGGCGTCTACGTCTATGGACAGAAGTACTGATTTAGTCTTCGGGACGTTTACATTATGCAACGACAACAACAAAATGAAGGAGATATTGCCTCAGACCCGGCACATTATCCATCTCTATGGTGATAAACATGACCTTTTTTTTCTTCTTCTTCTTCTTCTTCTTCTTCTTTTTCCCCCCTCGTTTGAATATATTTCTTCTTAAATACTATGAGTGCTCTTGAAATAAAACCATGTCTTTTACCCATGATGCTTTTAGTATAAGTGGTGTAAAATAATCTTAAGTGCATGAATATATATATCACATTGGGTTTTTTTGCGCTTTCTTTTGACGCTTAGGGTCACTCTTTCTCCTTTTTTTCTCCTTTTCTTTTTTTCTTTCCTCCCCGTCGGCTGTCGCATCGGCTACATGAAGCAACCTGGTCGCTTATCTTTGGCACAGTCTCGCGTTTGTGCTCGTGGGTGTGAGAGAGAGAGAGAGATAAAGAGACAGAGAGAGAGAGAGAGAGAGAGAGAGAGAGAGAGTGATGCTGACCTCCGCCGTCCTCGCCGGCATCACTGCGAGAATTTGCTACAGATTCACGTGGAAACAAACGGGAAAAGACAAACGGCCGTCCTGGGTCGCTGTGCGGCGCGCTCCTCGGTGTGACTCGGTTTTGTCGTGTTTCAGCTTGTCCAAATTAGTGACAAAACAGGCTTCTTTTATGGCTTGCATCCCCTTTTTAAACAACAAAAAACAACATAGACACATGAGAAAAAATACCCACCGACGTTAGTGTGTTGCTGCACATGTAGGAAAACATAGATTTTTTTGTTGTTGATATTGCCACAAATATAAGTAGGATTCACCTAATGCCCTGCAGATAAGATAGATAGATAGAGGGAGATGACGAGTGTCAGCTGAGACTAATTCTGTTGTAACGTTACCTGTTGACCTATTGGTGTGTCATACTGTGTGTGTGTGTGTTGGATGACTGTGTGTGTGTGTGTGTGTGCGTCTGGTCTATGTGTGTGTCTTAGTTTCTCAGGGCCTCTTTCTGCTCCTTCTGGCCCTTGGCGGTGCGATTTGTGATGTTGTTGAGGCAGGCTCTCACCCCCGCCAGGTGGAGCAGCGACCCCGCCGCCTCCTTCATCTCCTCGTCGTCGCTCTCCGGCGGCTTCTCCACCGCCCGCCGCTTCTTCAGGGGCAGCGTGTCGCCCACCCCCCGCGCTCGGCTTTTGGTCCAGGGCAGGCTGCTGCCCGCCGGCGGGGTCCCGGCCAGCGGCCCCGAGCCGCGTCTCTGTCCGCGCGGGGGCTGCTGGGAAACGTAGGCGGCGGTGGTGGCGAGGTGCGAATCCAGCGGGATCTCCCGGGGCTCGGGCTTGACGTCCGACTGGATCTCCACGGCGATGATGTCGTCGTCGTCGCCGCCGTCGTCCAGCGGGGAGGACGGGTCGGCGGCCCTGCTGGGGGACTTGGCGGTGCTGTAGGTGTGGTCGTCCTGCAGGTCCTCGCCGCAGGGCGGGGGGGAGCAGCAGGACGGGCTGTCCTGCCCCCGGGTCAGATAGTCTCCCAGGGACGATCTGCAGGGACACAGAGAAACGCAAGTTACTCCTGCTGGTGGCCGGCCAAGCGGCAGGCTCACGGCGCAAAAAAAAGTGCAGGTGATAATCCATCAACCGGCAAACGGCTCCCCTCGGGCCTCCCCCGCTCAGATGTGAACCTTTTTTTTTTTTTTATCCGGGCCAGGTCACAAATCCATTTAATCGATCGGTCAAATTTGCGCTTCAAAATGGCCGTTTCTTTTCTTTTTCAGCTGCCTCCTAGAGGGCCGTTTTACTGGCCGCAGAGCAAAGTTTGATCACACTCGTGTGTAAGAGGAGTTAAAGCCGCGCTTTTAATAACAGATGCTGTTTTTACAGGAAGAGGAGGAGGAGGAGGCGGTTTTGAGTTGACTTCAATTTGAAGGTGTGAGGTAGGAGGTTCTGAATGTTTTTCTCAGGATCAAGGGAAATAAAGACTTCTTGGAAATATTATGAAAAAGTTGCATTTTCTTTTTTTTTCCTTTTTTTCTTTTTTTTTCTCTTTTTTCCATCCAAGCTTTTGTAAAAAAAAAAAAAAAAAAAAAAAATGTAGTATTTTTTTTGTTTTTTTTATCTTTATGAAGACAGGATTTGTTTTTAAAAAAAAGTTTTCTTTCTTTTTTACTTTTTAATTCCAAAACAAAGTTAGATGCGTTCATCCCAAAGAGGGAAAGTTCTTTGGTTTAATGAAAAGAGAGGGAAGACAAAAAAGGAAACGGATGTAGGTTTGATGGAGACGAGTTTTCGTCCTAATCGGGCCGGCCTCGCTCTCTCCTGGAAGTGGCGTTGTTGAACTTTTCCCGCGTGAAAGACTCCCGTGTGCTCCGGTGGTGGCGTTTAGCTGCCGTCCGGCGTCGGTGCGTCACATATTTTGGTCTATTAGGCAGGAAGAGGGGTGGGGGGGGACGATACTGTTTCCTGTGGTGCCCTGACAACCCATAAATCACCAGGCGCTTCAGCGCTGTGCCCCGTCCCCTCAGACGTTCTCTCCTTCAGAAAAGACGGGGCCAGCTTATTAATATCTTATCATAAGGAAAACATGCAGCCCTTCACGGTGATCAAATATTCACCGCGTACCTTTAGTGAACCTTTGGGTATGTTTAATTCATTTTGCGGCGCGGACCGTCGTACTCTTATGCTCCTGATGGATGTGCATGCCCGTGCATGCTGCAAATGTTCTTTGAATCACGAGGCCTCTCCCTCTAATAAACCTGTTTGTGTGCGGGAGACCGTTATATAAACACACCTGGATCAAATGTTCCACAAAGCGGGGCGAGCCCGTGAATGCGTCGGACTTTTTTCGACACAATAAAGTTGTAATTATGTAAACCATCAGTGGAAAAATTTGCGGTGTTGTGAGTGTAGACCTTTTTTTTCTTTTTTTTTCTTACCCTCTTTCTTCTTTTCTTATTCGGAGGGCATAGGTGTGTCTGTGCTGGGCGGGGAGGGGGGGGGGGGGGGGACGTGTTTGTGCAGGGAAACCCCGGGCTGACATTAATTACACGGCGGGGAGCGAGGTTTACCAACCTTATGGCCGAGGTTCTGCTCCCCACGGGGCTTACGGGCAGAGGTCTGATAACGGGGAAGAGGGCCTGGCTCCTGACACGGGCGCCATTTTGGATCACGCCACGAGGAACTAAAAAAAGAGAGGCAAGCAGAAGCACAAAATCTGAGCAGGAGGTCCAGGCGGCAGACGGATCACTTCCAGAGGCGGAGGGGGGTAAACAGGTGGGGCGGGGGGGGTTCGATGTGCGCTCGCCGGCCGTCTGAGGAGGCCGACGGGGCAATATTGATGAGGTTAAATTGAGCGGGAAAGCGTCATAAATTAGTCACGGCGGCTGCGGTTCATCCAATTACAGAGCGACTGCTGGGCTCAGCTAAAAGGCTGAGCGCCCGGACCCTGAAAAAGGGCGGGATTAAACAGAGCCACATGTTTGGATTCGAACCGGGAACCCAGAAAAATGTCTGAGGGTTTATCAAAGCCTGGGCTGGGGGAAAGCTAAATAAAGATTTACTTACTTCAATTACATCTACCTTAAATGTTTGGTCTCTTCTTTTACACAACCTGGTAAAAAAAATCCACTCAGCAAAGATATAAAACTGATTAAAAGACCCGATGCTCGGAAAAAAAGCTGAGAGTCAATCTTTCCAACATCTGAACACACCAGACTATTCTATTTAATAAGCCAAAGTGCTTGACCAAGGATTTGAGCTGCGTTTAAGGGACTCGTTTTTAACCTCTCGCAGTGTACTTTGGGCTGAATGTGAAGGCATCGAAAGACTTTAAGCTGACCTCCCTCATCAGACTGGGCTAATTCAACACGGCACAAAAGTACATTTAAAACTTAACAAAATCATAGACTTTATAATCGAATGTGGAATAAATCCAATTTTGAGTCCTCCTGTGGTTTACTTTCCAGGTCATAAAAAAGACTAATGATCGTCATCACATGATCAGAAAGATATTAGGATGGTTGAATTCCTGTGTCCCCAAAGCAACGCAAGCCGAGCATTTTAGTGAGATATCCAGCAGTTTAACTTTATTTAATATAAAGTTGAGTTGGAGAATGCCTGAACGGAATTAGCAAAAGCACTTTTTAAGTCGATATTAACATATACATACGTACGTACATACATACATACATACATACGCACGCACACACACACACACACACATATATACATACACACATACATACATACACTCACGCACACATACATAAATAACACAAACACACATGCACACACACAGACACATATATATATATATATATATATATATATATATATATAGAGAGAGAGAGAGAGAGAGAGAGAGAGAGAGAGAGAGAGTGAGAGAGAGAGAGAAACATTATAAATTTATGGGCCAAGATAATCACTAAGTCCTTATCTAAGATATTGCAACTTTGTTGCAGACCGATGTGGTCACCATGCTGAAGGATGACACAAATGAGGGTATTGGGCAAAACGGCACAGATATGGTCCACAGATGCACCTGTCGAAGACACAACACACAGCCAGGATGATGGAGCTGCTTTGTTACAAATCCCTGTATATCCCATTGAGCCCCCCTTGGCTAGACGTGAAGATCTGTAGGGAAAGCTAGGGACACGAGTTCTCTCGTGAAGCTATCTATCAGCCTGTTGATGCAACCATATTACGATTCAAGCTTTAAGATTGAAATATAAGGTTGAAAAAAAAAAATATATATATATATATGTATGAGAAGACTTGACAAACTGGTTAGCTTAGCTTAGCAAGAAGAGCAAAAATAGGTGAAATAAGGCAGGTTTAAAGTTTGCATTATGTATTCCGTGGATTAAATTAAATGAACAAAATTCAACATATTGACAGTGAGCTTCTTTTTCAACTGCTTTTTAATGAAACCAAATCAGCTGGTTACGACCGTAATTTCTGAACTATAAACCGATGTTTTTTCCCCCCGCAAACTTTGAACGTGGCAGATTAAACAACAATGTGGCCAATGTAGGGCTACTGTAGGGTCAAAACATTTAGCTTCATCACATCAGACTGATGAAAGTATCGTAGAGCTAAAAAAAACATTGACGGTATGGATTTGTGTATCCATCCATCCAGAGACATCAAAGGATAAAAATATTTTTAGTGAAAATTTGCTCAAAATGTTTTGGAACTTCTTGGTTTCAAAACAAAACTGGCATCTGCAAATTGAGAATAAGAAGTAAGAACCGGGGTAAAAGTTTTAGAACCTGAAATGATGATTTAAAAGGAAATAAAAAACAACCATTTTCTAGTCGGTGGCTGAGCAGTGGGGACATTGTAGCCTATGAGATGTTAGCCCGGCAACTCCTCAGAATCCGAATGAGAAGAGCAGAGAACATCTGAGCCAAAAGCTCTCATTATTCAAGGCTGGCTGCTCACCACAGCCATCCCAGTCCTATAAAACAGCTGTCATTTTCATCTCCCGGGTCAGTTTGTGTTTAGCAAATGATGACCTGCTGTTTGCTTTTGTCTGCCGCAGAGGCGTTTGTTAAGGCGCAAATCCCAGCCCTCGTGTACCGCCGCTCCGTTTTTTTACGTTAGCTCTCAGCCTGAGCATTAAATTTCTGATTGATGTCACGAGGAGAAAAATTTAATTCGCCCTAGGAGCCGCGAGCTCATTAAAACATACAAGTTGTCGTGGCGGGGCCCCACAGAACGCCGACTCCAGCATGGGCTTCGTGTTCTACCACAGCAGATGAATTATGAGAAGAGTTGTTTGTGGCTTTCTGTGTGTCTCTCTCTCGCTTTTTTTTTTTTTAATTGTAAGTGTGTTTTGTTGCCTTTTTTTCCCCTGGCCAGCTGTGTCCACAGTAATCTTATTGACTGCAGTTAGCGTGGCTCTGCCCCTGATATCTCCGAGCTCTGCTCTCCATAACCTTATAAGTAAGTCCCTGCACAGAGTCTCTTTTGTAATCTTGATCACTTGCAGCATGGCTCTGAGTGTGTGTGTGTTTGTGTGTGTTTGTGTGTGTGTGTGTGGGCAGTGCATTAGGTCTCCCCGGGTTGACATGTACCCAGCCCCTCCCTCCCCACCTCTCACTCCAGAATCGGGGCTTTGGGTTGCCATAGCAACCATTCCCCCTTCCACATGCCACAGAGTGGTAGATCATGCATCAGAAGAGAAAGTGATAGGGAGGGAAAAAAGCGAGAAAGGAAATACCAGGCTCTGTCTGAAATGGCCTCTCGTAGCTCAACGGCACACTCCCGACCGCTGTTTACTCTCCACACACACACACACACACACACACACACACATATGAGCGCGCGTGAACACACACATGCATCTCGCCAGTACAAGCGCTGGCATTTCTCCCCTTCACCGTTTGAATTTTTCCTTCTAATTCTATCCTATTCTTGATTTGTTTCCTCCCCCCTCGCCCCCCCCTTCTCGCTGTATTGATCTCCATGTCATTCTATGAATAGTGGTGACTCACATCTCCAACTGAGCTGGCATGCGGTCTCTGCAGGTAAAGAGCCGGGGACATATGCTGGAGGAGATGAGGTGGCGCACTACGCTGAGCTCCTAAAAGTGCCCTTCCCGTCTCGGACACTGAGAGATTTTACAAACCCAAACACAATCAGCGTACCCCAAAAGAAAACTTCCCTCTACAGACGGGAAAAGACAGAACTAAATAAAAAAAAAACCTCTTACGAGAGAAGATGCCTAACTTGCATGTGTGCTTATTTTCCTGGAAAGAAAAATCTGACCTAGACTGTCTTTTTCCGCCGTCTGCTGCCCGTCTCCCTGCTGACCGCCTGTTTTCCAGGGCAAACGAAACTAACCCCCCCTCCTCCTCCTCCTCCTCCTCCTCCTTCTCCTCCTCCTCACACACCTCTTTCTTTCCCCGGTCCTCCTCTGCTCTCCTGCTAAATGAGTTCCACATGGCCCTGCGGGCTGCAGTCTCCGCACGGCCGGCCGAGGCAGGCACAAAGTGCAGACAAACACGCACAAACACACACACACACACACACACACACACACACACACGCACACAAACACACACAGTGTCCACAGGTTCAGGGGTCACTCCCGGCAGACCTTGAGAATGCAACCGTTTGAAAGTGGCCTCTCGCTCAGTCAAAACAACCGCCTCCCCTGTCTTTTCTTTTCTTTTTTTTTTCTTTTTTTTCTCCCCTCGCTTGGCTGCCGTGCGCTAAGCGAGGACAAAGGAAGAAGCAACGCGTACATTAACAAGCCTGTTAAGTGCACTTTGACCTCGCTCACCTTTGACCCGCCTCCACGCAAACACGAGCCAACGTGGTGTAGATGGAGTTAACGAGCGCTTTTTAAGGAACGGCCCATCCTTGGAGGCCGTCTCTGATGATGTCTCAGGCACCGTTTTCTGGTCTGTGCTGGATTTGAACCTATCTCTTAATGATATTGCTTGTTTTTTTTTGTTTTTGTTTAGCCCTGCCAGCTCTTCCGTCAAACCTTTTAAGGCCACAATGCACAGCGTGATGAGACGCTAAGCATTTTTCCGCAAAATTGCTCGTTGGTTCCTCGCTGGTGTGATACAAAAAAGAATCGTGACATGATATTTTTTGTATTTTTGCGCGTTTCATCTGGGTGCAACATGGGAAGAAAACCTTGTGTCTATTTTGACAGGCTGCTTTTCACAAAGTGCCTAAAGGTACCATTTAAAGCGGACTGTTAAGTTCTCTGTTCTGTGTAAACACATCTATGGCTCATCCCTTGAGTTAGGTGCCTTTTTCTGATCACTGACTTGTTGCCTGAGTAAAGAAACAAGCCCAAAAAAAAACAGGACTGAACTGAAAATGGGTGAAAAAAGCAGCCAAAGCAGCCAAAAACTTTGAGACCTTCAGAAAGATGAATGAACGGTGTGTCCTGCACTTTTAAACAGCTTTGTTAATCCAATATATGTGCGCCTTTGAGCGTTTAGTGATTAAACACTGATCACACATTCATCTCTGTGGGTTTATAGAGTCTCAGAACCGCTTGGACTGAGCAGAGCCCAGTGAACGGTAACCTTTTGGGGCAGGCAGGGGCTGAGTTTGAGATGAGAACTCCATGTCCCTGAGCTGCAGCTGGGTGATAGGTAGAGGCAGATTTCAGCCCACATCAGAGCCGAGCACCTCTGAAAGCTGTGGGGACAGGACATGGAAATAATAACCGGGGCCCACAAACGGCTCCCCCATCCTCCCATCTCGACTAGGGGTGGGACGGTTCACAAAATCCACGGTTCGGTTGGATTCACGGTTTCGTGGTCACGGTTTTCGGTTCGGTTCGGTATATGTTGATTGTTAGGAAAATCTATGATGTCTTGTATAGTCACGTTAAAACTGAAAGAAAAAAGCCGTCTGACATTTGAAACATTATTGTGACAGTCTTAGGTTAAAAGTAGGTGAGATTCTGGCATTGCAAGAGAGGAAACAGTGCTAATTCCAACATGTGCTTCCCTCTAAATACAAAGTGGTCCCATACAGCAGACCTATAAACTGCTGTTGGCGCGTCGGATTTTTATCGGCTACGCTGCTTCGCTTCTTCTTCTTGTTTACTACTGGTGGTTGGCTTTGGGCGCAAGTAGCGCCACCTTCTGCTCTGGAGTGAACACGCTTCGCTATGAGAAAAAGGAGCAGTGCATGAACCCAACGCAACACACGCGAACCGAACCGAGACAGTCGAACCGAACGGTTCGGACGGTTTTCAGAAACCGTCCCATCCCTAATCTCGGCTACTCCCAGTCTTGCCTGTGGCCGTCTGTCCCAGGCTCTGGATGTCACACCTGACCGTACCGTTGCGCTCTCCTCAGGAACAACAACAACAACAACAAAAAAAGAAACTAACTTCCTGTCTTCCTGTCCCTCGCTGTCACGCACGTGCACTCCGAGTCGGCCCTCGCTGACGTGTCTCCTTATCTATCTTTCCATCTCTCCGCCTGCCCAGACGCATCACTCACACCGTGCGAGTCCAGAGGGAGTCCGGGTTTTTTTTCAGGCAGCTCGCTCCGGCCCCCCCCCCCCGGCTCCTTGACCATTACTACTCCATTATCAGCGGCGATGGAGAGCTCACCGCAGACGCCTAATGTATCCATTTCCCCCTTCCATTTAGGGCTCGGCGGCCCAGCGAGCTCCTGGAGTGCTCCCTGATTGGGATTGAATGTCCATTTAAACTGCTGTCCAGCCACCGGGGGAGGAGGTGTGTGTGTGTGGGGGGGGGGGGGGGGGGCGGGGGCGTGGAGGGGAATAATGGGAAATATGAGGAAAAGGAAGTGAGGCTATGCGTGCGTTGTGTGATGAGCGAAGGGGGGAGAAGCGCCCAAATCTCTTGCTTTGAAGCTCAGACTTTCCTCTCCTGTCCTCGCGCTCCCCCTCTCTCTCCGTCTTGTTGGGTATCAATCCCTTCTTCATGAAAAAAAAAGAGAGAGAGAAAAGAAAACAAACTTTTAAGATGCCTCCGTAGAAGGGGAAAAAAAAAAGGAAAAAAAAAAAGGGGGGGGGGGGAAGCGTTCCTCTTTTTGGCGGCGAGCCAAGTGTCAGAACTCGGTACTCTGTATTCTCAAGGTGCGCTTCTAAAAAGAGGGATTTGGAATTGAGATGATTGGAGTTGGCACATCCGTGGCGCGTGGAGGGAGGGGTAAGAGGGAGAGAGAGACAGAGAGGAAAGAGAGAAAAACTGAGAGAAAGACAAGACAGAAGAAGAAAGAGGCGGACAGACTACGAGACTTGCGGAGTTGAAACTGTACCTTGTAGGAGGACTCCTCCGTTCTTTCTGAAGAGGGGACTCCCCGACCACAATGGAGGACTAGGAAGCGAAGGAGAAGGAAAGGAAGAAGAAGAAGGAGGAGGAGGAGGGGGAGAGAGGGAGGCAGGAGAAAAGGAGAAAAAAAAAGACAATACTGGTCAATCATTTGATCACGTTGCGGCAGCCAACCAGCCCTGTCGGCCTCATCACGAGGCAGATAGCGAGGCAGGAATTTGAGCCCATAAGCCAATGCTTCTGATTATAGTGATTAGAATCCCGGGTGTCCCACTGTTGCCATTATTCCCTGTGATTACCTCGGAGAATTACAGCCTCTACTCTGTAGTCCACGGGGGTAATTTCTCATGACTACCCCCCCCCCCCCCCCGCCTCCCCTCCACCGGCCCATTCACACTCAGCCCTCGTCAATGAGCGTGCGTTTAACACACTTCTTTAAGACAGATGTGCACAGAGTGCGACACGTTAAGACACGGCTGTGTGAGACACACACACACACATCCTTATCTTTCTGTATCTGCGAGGACTCTTACAGCAACCGTCCTCGGACCCCAAATCAAAGTCTTGATCATATACTTGTCAATCGCACCTGTGGGGTCCAGGCAGAGCGGGTCCCCACATAGACGGTAAAACACCCCCCCCTCCCCCCAAACCCTCCTTACAGCTAACGCACACTTGCAGAGGAACACACAAAGCGAGGGACTCACTTTAAGTGATCATTGCGCTACTAATGAGGGAGGTAATGACACGCATTTCTCACATAGACGGAGATATCCTCACTCACACATCTGCTCACGCAAGAACACAATAGGCACAGTTCTGCTGCTGCCGGAGTCATAATTCTAAGACAGGGGGGGGGGGATACGGACAGAGGGAGGTGAAAAAAGGCTGTAAGAGCTTTTCCAGGTTGAGTGGTCTTTAGCTCTCCATTAGACAGACTGGTCTTTTTTTAATCTTTTCTCCCCACCCCCCACTTCTCTCCTTTGGTAGTCAGACAGACTGTTCCCCTAAAACGGTCGGTGACAACATGGATGGGGCTTGGTCATACTGTTAACACACACACACGCGCGCGCTCACACACACACACACACACACACACACACACACACACACACACACACACACACACAGACACACAACCCGAAGGAGAAAACACCTGGAGTCATCAGCAGAGCATCCTCTGTGACGGCAGGTTGTGTTTTATGTTGCTCTGAAGCTGCTGAATGAGAGGATTTGGACGTCTGTGCTTGTGATGCGGCTCTCACCCCGCCAGATGCGGGACACACACACACACAC